TATGATATTGGCAGTTGGATGCAGTATGACATTGGCAAGTGGATACAGTATGACATTGGCAAGTGGATACAGTATGATATTGGCAAGTGGATACAGTATGACATTGGCAAGTGGATACAGTATGACATTGGCAAGTGGATACAGTATGATATTGGCAAGTGGATGCTGTATGACAATGGCAAGTGGATACAGTATGACATTGGCAAGTGGATGCAGTATGACATTGGCAAGTGGATACAGTATGACATTGGCAAGTGGATACAGTATGACATTGGCAAGTGGATGCTGTATGACACTGGCAAGTGGATGCTGTATGACACTGGCAAGTGGATGCTGTATGACACTGGCAAGTGGATGCTGTTTGACACTGGCAAGTGGATGCTGTATGACACTGGCAAGTGGATGCTGTATGACACTGGCAAGTGGATGTTGTATGACATTGACAAGTGGATACAGTATGACATTGGCAAGTGGATGCTGTATGACACTGGCAAGTGGATGCTGTATGACACTGGCAAGTGGATGCTGTATGACACTGGCAAGTGGATGCTGTATGACACTGGCAAGTGGATGCTGTATGACACTGGCAAGTGGATGTTGTATGACATTGACAAGTGTATACAGTATGACATTGGCAAGTGGATGCTGTATGACACTGGCAAGTGGATGCTGTATGACACTGGCAAGTGGATGCTGTATGACAGTGGCAAGTGGATGCTGTATGACATTGGCAAGTGGATGCAGAATGGCACTGGCAGTCATGCCTAACCACAATCTTTTGTGACAAACATCAGAACGAGACATTCTCATTTTATTTTTCTAAATATTTAATGAGGGAAGGAAATTTGAATGAGCTGTGGCTCTTTGATTAAGGGGGTAGAAACAATGGAAGACAATACGAGACGATTCTTGACAACCTTTTGTCATGGCATGAAGGGGTGTTGAAGATCCCAGATGTGGTGAGGCATGATCGTTCACCCCTGTCGGCAAGGCACTGTATGATGAAGTTTAAAACTCAACTGTTGCATACAGAACAAGAAGACAATTCGTAAAAGATTAAAAGGGCATTGCAGGGTGACGCAGAGACGCACACAAGTAAATTATTTTCTTTCATTGCCCCCACTAGCGGTCAACCCGAGGTATACTCACTGGTTTGTTGTTGACCACAACACAACAAGCCACGTCACAAACATCAGCGCTAGGTCAGACAAGTAGCCTAAACAGGACCGGTGGTCGGGTCTCATGCGTGGCTCAGTGGATTCGTCGTTTGCCGGTTTACAAATATCCGAGTCTCTTCTTACCCGCGATCGAAACCTACGATAGTCAACTTATTTATTTCTATATAATAAGTAAAAATATGTTCAGTAAAAGTAATATTTCAACAGCAAAACAAGTAGATCATACGTAAATAAGTGAAAAAATAATTAATAATAATAAAACAGACTCTGGTAGTTGTCCGGTAGGCGGGGGGACCACACCAGCCTCTCTCCCAGAGGGTGGCGAAGTGTTTTCTTTCTGTGGACGTCACCCTCTGGGATGATGTTGGAAACGGGGCACAAGTGAGGCTTTTGCTATTTTTTGTTTTTAAATCATTAGAAATGTTTCTGTAAAATACTTTGGTAGTATTCTTCTGAAATACTCTTGAAGGTTGACAGCTCGACAAACATGACACACTGGTAGCATTTGGTGTCCTTGTTCTTTACTTCTTCCAATTATTTTATCCAAGTGTTGGGGTGAAATGTATGGATCTTCTATTTGCTTGTACAAATTCCACATTACTGTACCATTATTATTTTTTTAGTCAAGACGATTCATGATAGTCTTCTGTCACGGCATGGAGGGGTGTTGTCCTTTTTATAGGCGGTTTTCTCTTTTCTTCTCTCTCTCTCTCTCTCTCTCTCTCTCTCTCTCTCTCTCTCTCTCTCTCTCTCTCTCTCAACAATCGGAATGTTTTCTTTAATAATCGGCACGTCCTCTTGTTTTGAGAGCTTGTCTATGATATACCGCTTCTCTTGTTTCAAATACGCAAACATAAACGTCCGTAGAAGTCGGATGTGTTGACCAAAAGTGCAAAATATCGCAAAAAAGTGCAATTTAATCTTCGGATTAAGGCAGGAGAAGAAGAAATTGACAACTGTAGGTCTTCTGTGGTCTTCCAATTTCCATAATTGTTCGTTGTATTGTGTTGTTCTGAAGTCTCTTATTTTGTCAAGGTAATATGTCTGGGTCTCAGAGAGTCGTGTCAAGCTAAATCTGTCATAATGGTTATACAGTTACTGAAACCAAGTGGAAGGAAACCGGGGAGATGCGGTTTTGTAGACGAATGATAAGAATATCTTGGATAGATAAAAGTAATGAAGACATCTTGAACGAAACTGACTTACGAAGAGAATTGATTGCTCACATCAGAAAGAGCCATTCTACGTTGTTTGTGAGAGAACTGGAGTACACCGTGACAGTAGAAGGTAGAAGAGAGCAGGAGCAGAGGGAGACCGAGAGAACAGATGCTGAAAATCTTCCCTGTCGTACGCAACATAGGGATGTGGGTCGTGGACTATCTCCCAGTCTTTAAGACACTTAAACACTCTTAAGAAAGAAAGTAGGGGTTTTTAAGCCGAAATGCTATAGAAAGGTTCTCAGAATAGAAATGGAGAAAGAAGAGAAGAAATACTGAAAGTTTGAAACATCTGAACATCATTACCGGTCCGTTGTTGCTCTTGATGTGGCCAAAGTATTTCAGTTTCTATTGCAGATATATTGATTATAGCAAGGCATTTGATTGTGTCCAGCACCACCAACTGTGGACTATTATTAAAAGTGTGGGGTTTCCAGCTCATTTAGTGCAATTAATCATGAACAACAAGCAGCCATCAGAGCAGCTGGTGAAACATCTGATTGGTTCGAGGTGCAAAAGGGTGTGAGGCAGGGGTGCATTCTCTCACCATACCTATTCAATATATACGCAGAAAATGTAATGAGAAATGTCAAAAATGACCAACTTGTGACAGTTATGATCCGCTCAAAATTGGTGGCAATCCTATTCTGGAACTCCGCTACGCAGATGAAACAGTCCTCCTTTCGAACAGCGTAAAGGGAATAGAAAATTTAAAATTTTCCGTCCAAAAGCACAGTGAAGATCAAAATCTGTTCTTGAATTTAAAGAAAACGAAAATAATGTCCACAGATAAAACTGGCTGTCACCCAAAAATAACAATAAATGATGAAGAAATTGAAAAGGTCACAAACTTTGAATATCTAGGCTCTATAATAAGCAGCAATGGAGACTGTTCTACAGAAATTAAAAGGAGGATGGCCTTAGCAATGCAAAGATTGAACATCCCTAAAAGTATATGGTTAAGCACCAGCAAGGAGATAAAAATTAGAATTTTTAGAGCATGCATCTTCCCTGTGGCTACATACGGATGTGAGTCGTGGACTATCTCTCAGTCCTTAAGAAAGAGAATAGTGGCTTTTGGGCTGAAATGTTATAGAAAGATTCTCAGAATATCTTGGACAAAGAAGATGAGAAATATTGACATCTTAAAAGGAATATTGGCTAATAAACAGCATCTTGTCTCGGAAGCTGAAATATTTTGGTCATATCAAGCGCCATCACGGATTGGAGAAAAAATTAATAGCAGGAGGCATTGTACCAGGAGAGGTAGGGGCCGACCAACACGAAGATGGGCAAAAGATAAAAGTGACTCCTTGAATATGAAAGTACAAGAGGCCGAACGTGATGAGAGCGACGTTCTGCAAAGCTCCTGCTACGTGATGATTTATATTTAATTGTTAAATCCAGTTAACCCAGCCTGCCGCTGAAAATCGCTTTACGTGCCGACACTAGTGCCATATGCTGCTGAGGCCTTATGTAGACAATACACACCGGGACATTCCTGCATGCAACGTAAAGCCGTATGGCGTAGAAAGGATTACACAAAACACTTCAGGAGAATAATTGATTCCTCGAGGTCTAATACGTTTATCTCATTGTCCTATTACGGTTCATTGTTTTTACACTGTGGCTTCGAGGTCAGTAAAGTCGTTTCACGATACAGTACCCGAGGTTTAGCAGGATTCGATTCCTGCAGCGGTCGATACGTGGAAAAGACAGGCGTCCTCATCACGTAATATCCCCATAGCAATGGATACATGACCTCCGACCTTCCTTGTGGAGAAAGCATCATCATCATCATCAAGTGCCTTGCGAGCTGACGTGGTCTTTTATGCATCTCAACAGATCTCAGTTGTTAGTGTTCTGGATCGATTTCACTAATGATATTTCTTTGTGCCACTGTCTTCAGAAGTAATGGAATTTTTAAAAAACACTGACTCTCCTCAAGCAACTACTTGGGTACCCTGGTCTAAGGAGAATGGCGCTGCGAGGAGTTGCCAGGGAATCTGGTCGATGCTCAACACTCAAGGCAAAGACGAGACGGATATACAATCAGACAGTTATTTGGTGCCATCGGAATTGGAACTCTTCATTTGCTGCTGAAGATGGAGACGAAGCGCTTTTGGAGCCCGAGTGCTGTAGTAGTAGATTTTTACCCCACCAGGGCATCACACAAGAGATAAACAGTGCCACCATGTGGGTAAGGATCACCGTGGAGAGGTCCCAGAAACCGCGTTCAGCCATTAGACCATATTTATGGCCGGGCTATATTGCGGCCCCTGGCAAGAGCCAGAGTAAGGCTTTAAACAACGAAAAATTGCATCTCGCAAGGACATGACTGGATAAAAATAAATGAACCCGAGTGCTGTAATGTCTATTCTCAAATCAACATAAAAAGAAGATGATGAGAATACAGACAGAGAGAGCAATAAAGAAAAAGTTGACTTACGAAGAGAACTGCAAACCTTGCAGATTCCTTTCCTCAGCATCAAGCCAACATAAAAATATAGGATATGTTTATATATTTATATGACAGAAAGCAATTAGACACACGCATGCCTACGTAATAAATGATTCATAACATATTCGTTCTCTCAATTCACAGAACATGGTGCGAAGTGCTTCCAACGAGAAAAGGTAGGTAACCGTTATAAAGTAACAGTATTTTGTTAGTTATTCCCCTTATTTTGTATTTTAATTTTGAGGATCATTGTCAGAAACGAAACATAAATTATTTGAGGTTTTTGAACAACGAATCAACATCACGGCACACTGATGTAACCCATAATTGCTTTGTTCTTCTTCTAACCCAAATCTGAGTTCGAAAAAACTCAGCACCGTGCACAGGCTCTGTAGCACCGGCGAGGATCATGTGACACATTGCTAACTCCAAATTTTGACCAAGCAGCGTCGTTATGCTACTCTTTTCGACTTCCAACTGCCAATATATTCATACTTCTCGTCCTTTTTAGGATGAAATTTTTGTTATTTGAAGCCCTACTCTGGCTTTTGACAGGGACTGCAATATAGCCTGGCCATAAATATGGCCTACAGGCTGGACGCGGTTTCTGGGACCTCTCCACGGTGATCCTCACCCACATGGTGGCTCATCGAGTCATCGGGTGTTTATCGCTTGTGTGATGTTCTGGTGGGGTAGAAATTCAGTCAGTCAGTCAGTCCAACTGCCAAAAGATGTTTTAAAGTGCGCACAATGCACACGGGCGTCTGATTTCACTACCAGGGGGAATTACTAGTCCACGTAAAAAAAATCCCTGCCCTTACGGAGATTGAACCCAGAACCTCTAGCACTCGAGGCGAAATAAGTAAACAGATGTGAAAAAAAGGACTGTTTAGTTGGCACTTCTGACAACTGCCTTATGCATTTAATGCTTGTGTACTTTTTGCTGAGACTGCGGTTTGATACATAAACGGAGCGACTGTGGGGTGACCCGTTTGCAATAAAAGTGAAACTGGGCTTATTACCTGAGTGTTCGAGCAAATTAATTCTCGCATATGCAGCCATCTTACCTCCACTACTTCTCCACACTCTGTGGGGGTGGGGGGGGCGGGCTGATCACAACAAAAGATTGTGACGGCCCTGGTTGTTCTGAAAAGGAACATTGTCGAAGAGTCGTGACCTGGCTTTACAGAACGGCAACCAAGCAGGCACTAGGGCACCAGCGCAGCGACCAGCACGAGGTAAACCAAGCACCAGCAACAATCAGCTAAAGCCCACAGTTACTGATACCAAGAGAACTGGACCAGACCAGACCCCAAAACCCCAAGCACCACACCGGACTAAGGAAGCAAAGAACCGGACTACCACCACAAATAATAGAAACCCCAAAAAGATAGCCAAGGAACCTTCCTTCATATAGCAGGCCTCCGGGCAGCTGAAAAAGGATCAAAATTTGACATTTTTGTTGGACAACTGGAATTGGAATTACCTGAGTACATTAGTTTCGTATCCTTTACACGACGTTGCGGAACCAACCCCAACATTTTTTGGTTGTTGTAGTTTTTCTAGGGAAGTTTTTAATGTTTAATAGCTTGCCGTTGCTGTCTCTACGGCTGACTGTTGATGTCACTGTCGAAACCAACGCAGAACGTTCAGCTAGGATCTAAGCCGGTACCCTGACATTATGAAGTGTGTTCAACACGCCGCAGACGCTGATATCATGGTCTCTGGGTAGTAAGATCGGACGCCCTTCTGTATTTTTGCGCACTTAAAAAATTTTGTTGGCAGGTGGAAATCGAAAAGAGTAGCTTAACGACGCTTCCCGGGCCAAATTTGGAGATAAAATCTACCCAAAGTCTTTCAGGATCCTCACCGGTGCTACAGAGTTTGTGCAATGTGCTGAGATTGTTGAGTTAGAAGTAGAAAGGAGCACTTATAGATTACACGCTTGTGCCATGATGATTATTTGTTGTATAAATTAAACTAAATACCTGAGTTCGATCCGATGCTTTGCTCAAAACAAAACAAAATCGTCACATTTCCTGGTGGGGGGGGGGGGAGGGAGCTTTGGGTTATAATTGTGACTATGTTATATGCGTCATATTACATGACTTAACATTGCATGTCACCAAAAAAGACGTCTACCGGGTTATAATTGGGACTATGTTATATGCGTCATATTACATGACTTAACATTGCATGTCACCAAAAAAGACGTCTACCGGCGAGCCATTAGGTGACCCGGTCACGAATACTGTCCCAGCCTGTGACGAAGTCGTCTACCAGCCATCCAATGGGCTACTCGGTCGCCAATGTAACAAATTTTGCACAACCAGTAGTTTGCCACTGCCTACTCAACGGTCAGCTCTCAGTACCACTGTAAAAACCAATGCAAGATAAATTGTCCTCACCGGTGCTACAGAGTTTGTGCAATGTGCTGAGATTGTTGAGTTAGAAGTAGAAAGGAGCACAACCAATGCCAGCCTGTGACGAAGTCGTCTACCAGCCATCCAATGGGCTACTCGGTCGCCAATGTAACAAATTTTGCACAACCAGTAGTTTGCCACTGCCTACTCAACGGTCAGCTCTCAGTACCACTGTAAAAACCAATGCAAGACAAATTGTCCTCACCGGTGCTACAGAGTTTGTGCAATGTGCTGAGATTGTTGAGTTAGAAGTAGCAAGGAGCACTTATAGATTACACGCTTGTGCCATGATGAATATTTGTTGTATAAATTAAACTAAATACCTGAGTTCGATCCGATGCTTTGCTCAAAACAAAACAAAATCGTCACATTTCCTGGTGGGGGGGGGGGAGGGAGCTTTGGGTTATAATTGTGACTATGTTATATGCGTCATATTACATGACTTAACATTGCATGTCACCAAAAAAGACGTCTACCGGCGAGCCATTAGGTGACCCGGTCACGAATACTGTCCCAGCCTGTGACGAAGTCGTCTACCAGCCATCCAATGGGCTACTCGGTCGCCAATGTAACAAATTTTGCACAACCAGTAGTTTGCCACTGCCTACTCAACGGTCAGCTCTCAGTACCACTGTAAAAACCAATGCAAGACAAATTGTCCACAGCTGGGATCGAACCCGACATTACAAAGTGTGTTCGATATGTCTGTATATGCTGTGCTCCCTAAAAATGCTGTAAAGTATGGACTTCTTCTTCTTCTTCTTCTTCACTTCCTCTTTTACCGCTGTGGGTGTCGAGGGAGATATAAGGTTCTGTTTCTAGCTCTTCTGGCTGCCTCGACCATAGGCACATCGTGCTCTTGTAGAGTTTCTCTGATGTTATCCTTCCATCTTGTTCTTGGTCTACCCCGTGCTCTACGTCCTTCTTCTCTTTCCATGTATGCTTTGTATGGTATGGTGTCACAAGTATGGACGCCGACCCTTATGTGAAACTTCATATGAAGTTGATAGGATAAATGTTGTATTTATGATTCTGCAGACTGGAGACATCATCAAGTGCTGGGAATTTGCAGAAGTTCTCTCGGCGGCTGGTCATGAGAGACAAGAAAGAACCACTATCACCCTCCCGGAACAGATCTATCAGCCTAGACTGGTAAGTGGCATTCACTGGCCTCTCTTGATAGTAGTAGTAGTAGTAGTTGTTGTTCATTTTAACCCACTAGGACATCACACAAGTGATAAACACCCAATGACACAAAGTGCCATCATGCGGATGAGGATCACCCATGGAGAGGTCCCGGAAACCTCATTCAGCCATTAGGCCATATTTATGGCCGGGCTATATTGCAGCCCCTGGCAAAAGCCAGGGTGGGGCTTCAAAATAAAGAAAAATTGCATCCCACAAAGGGGATGACTTGTTAATTGACCTCTCTCTTGGTCAGATCCATTTAGCTTATATATGCATTTTTTTTAAACCTGTCCATTGAGCCATATTCCGTCTTCAGTTCTATCTTGGTCTACCTCTTTTCCGCTTCCACTTTACAGAGCCCTTCAGTATCATTTTAGAGAGGCAGGTATATCTGGTCACATGTCCATGCCATTGCATTTTCCATCAATTTGTTTTTCTTCAAAGAGATTCATAGTTGCCGGTATGCGGAGAGGTAATTTGGTAAACTTCTCCGTGATGTGGTCTCTGAGTTTTAACTGCTACATGTAATGATGTGCTGTTCTGATTGTTGAAGTAGAGCTTATGCCTGTTTTATCCTATCACAGGGGAGATACTCATGCCCTCAAGTTGTTCTCATCCTCCTCGGAAGAAAGTGCGATGGATGTTGTGTCTGGGCTGTCCATCTCCCCCAGTGCCCCTGCCTACCTCAGCTACAAGGAAGAGCAAAGTTACAGCCCCAAGATGAGAAGGGATCTAAAACTGTTAACAAGTGAGTCTTTGTTGTGTATCATGGGTTCAAATCCATATTGAGTTGAAGGTTTTCAAAATTGACCTTGGGTCCTAATTTGAACGGGTCTAAAATGTGTACCAGGAATGTCCTAGGAAGGAAAATGCGGCTACATCGCCCAATAAGGTATACTCTTCCACACCTTCAAGCATTTTGGGCACATAGGGCTAGACCTATATTTTATAAAGTGGTTTCGACACCATACTTGCTCTGCTCTAGTGTCAGTGAAAATCAAATGAAATATCCCTCACTGTCTCATTTGAGAAACTGGTGAACAAACAATTTGTCCCCGCACAATCCACAATTATGCGCAGGCAGTATATGCATATGGCAGTTGACAGAAGTGCTGAAGCCAACAATCGCCACCAGCAATGCAGTTTGTCATTGATGAAAGTACTCGGTCACAGTACATTGGCTATACACACATACAGTTATTACATACGGTATTTCACCAACCCACATATAAACTGACAACCAGCCATATTGAATACCATGACTCATCCGCTGCACAAATAAAAGGCCTTCCACATGAAAAACACAGCTCACAGGTTGGTAGCTTATGCTCCAGTAAGGAAAAAGGGGCACAATATACAATATTTTTAATACGCAGTCCTTGAAGCCATTAATTCTTGATACTAGAAAAAAGTGTAATTAGATATACATCAACACATGATTTACTTCTTAGTACCCAAACAATTAGGCAATCAGGTGTCGTCATTTTTTTAATTTTTTTTTATTGTTTTGCAACAGCAGTCCCGATGACTGGACCAGGCGAGGCCATATTTCTTTAATTTTATATTCATTTTTAGTATGTAGTGCATATTTTTTTGGTGTTATATTTACCAGATTCCCAGAAAAAGAAGAGTTCCAGTATTGATGGCAGTGATGGGCAGATGCTGGGGAAACGAAAATTAGAGAAGGAAAAGCGAGGTATGTTTGAGAATTTATATGCGCTTGCAGTATTTTTTTAATGGTAGAGAGATCCCAGATTTGACCAGCTGGTTTTCCAATGGAAACCAAGATGTATGGAAGGGACATGCATTACACCTCAAGAGATCTATGGCTTTCTCATCTGAAAGCACGGGTAGGCAGGACGAAGAGAAAAAGAAGATAACTCTGAAGTTAAAATGAAAGTTGAGAGGACTGACTTATTGCACCAGCTTATACCATAGAGCTCAGTCTCTCTCCCAGAATGGCTAATTGCCTGCATCACACAAAGCACAAACTCCATAGTTCCAGCGATTGATCCCCAGTAAAAACTGCACTAGTAAGCTGAATGACACAGTCTGTGGATAGAGCTTCAGTTCATGAGTCAAAAGCCTTGCCAGGTAGACCATACCTTGGCCAGCCAGAAAAGGTATCGGTAATTTCCTGGGAAGAGTTAGAAAAAAGGTAAAGGTAAAGTCGGGAGATGGGAACCAGCGCCATTGCACACGGTTATAAACCATAAGTGCTCTGCTACCAGTACAAACAGCTGATAAGAAACTGTCAGCCTGTGTCGCCGTCCTCACGCAACTCCGTAGCCACATTCCTTCATTTACCCCAGAGTGTTAGCTTTCAAACACCGGCCGTGGGCTGCAGCGAGACGCAGCTAATGCGGTCCCCTGTAACAACAACAAAACATAGATAATTATAAGATAGAGACAGTGCATTGGGCTTGCATTGGGAAGAGAGGCACTGAAGAACATTGTCATAACAAGAAAGATTCAGTGGTACGTGACAAGAAGACAGTCAGACAAAGTCTATACTAGATCAGAGCTTTACAAACTGCTCATATTGGTGTCCCACTTTTAGACAACGCGGCGTACGTAGCTTAGGCGTTGCGAGTCCGACTCGTAATTCCAGCGTGCTGCAAACAAAACCCACTGCTGGATAGCGTGGATTTTTTTCATGGTATGGGATTTCGCAGGTCTACCCAGCCTCAAATGGGTTCCAGGATGGCTGTCCTGGGAAAGTAAAGACGGCCGACGTAATGCTGACCACATAACCCACCCAGTGCCGACTGGTCTGTAAAAATTTGGGATGCTCTTCCCATATACCTGATGCGCCTAAGGCTTGAAAAGGGATCTTTACTTTTACTTTTAGACAACATGTAAGCACACAGTAATTTAATCTACAAGCACACTAGATATGGAAATAACGACATAAGAAATATAAGAAACATTAATTAGTTCGCACAACGCACCTTCAGACAGCAGCTGACACCCTAATGTTGAATGAATAATCGACATTTGCAGCCCTTGGGCCACTTCCATAGGTTCTCCATCTCCATCTTCATCTTCAGCAGCAGAGTACAAATTCTGATGGCACCAGTAACTGATTGTTTATCCATCTCACCTTTCCCTTGAGTGTTGAGCATCGGCCAGATCCCCTGGTACCCCCTCAAAGCACCATACTCCTCAGACCATTTATGCCTCTGCACAATTCACTCACTCCCAAAAGTCCATCACAACATCTAGCCTGTCATTCATCAGTTCCCTACCAAGTGGTGCAGAAACGGCCAGTCTATCTGTCTGCTCATTTCCCAACACACCGGCCATGACCCAGAGAAGATACCCAAAGGAAGCCAACTACCCGGGGACCTCTGAAGTGATGCTTGCTACTCTGCATGTAGTCTAGAATCAAATATGCTACCCATGTAAAAGCGTTTCTTTACCATTACATTGGGTTTTTTTCATTAATGTTTCCTGATCTTCTTTTGTCCATTTGATTCAGCTCTGTTTGATGCTGTAGAACAACAAGACTTGGATCTGACCAAGGCCATACTGGATGCTCTGTGTGTGGACATTAACAGGTGGGATTATGGATACATGGATATACTTCATGTATGTGTGTGGACTTTTGGGATTATGGATACATGGATATACTTCATTTATGTGTGTGTATTCTGTGACAGGAAATTATGACTTTATGGGTTATATTGTCCCATTCTCTGATAGGAAATGATGACTTCATGGGCTATATTGTCCTATTCTGTGTCAGGAAATGATGACTTTATGAGTTATATTGTCCCATTCTGTGTCAGAAAATGATGACTTTATGGGTTATATTGTCCCATTCTGTGTCAGAAAATGATGACTTTATGGGTTATGTAGTCCCATTCTTTGCCAGAAAAGTTTGAGAACAAGTGCCTGTGTGGATTGTTTTGACATATTATGTATCCAACATTAATAGCCTATTCTTGATTGCTAAGCAGATTTTGCACAGATTTTGATGATGATGATGATTGTGTATTCAAACTGTCCATCTCACAGTTTGAATGGAGAAAACATGACACCCTGGATATTGCTGTGATGACCAATAACATTCCTATGGCTAAGATGTTGCTGTCTAAAGGTGCCAGAGAGAGTCCCCTGTGTACGTAACAAATTTATTTTGTCTATATATGTATTTGGCTCTCCCCCGATATTATGGCGGCCATAAAATATCCTTATTGGGCTCAGTTCTATAAAAAATATGCCGGCTCCAAATAACGAAACAAATGTTTTAACAGGGTCTCTCCCGCCATATCGCTTTTATCGTCTGTAATGTCTCGAAATTGTCAATAGTCGCTATTATCGTCTGCTTGTATCATCTGCAGGTACACTCGAAATTGTCAACGGTCGCTTTTATCGTCTGCTACTATCGTCTGCAATGTTGCGTCTCTTGAAATTTTCAAGTAATCCTAGCTTTGGCGCGATTTGTTCCTTGGCAGAAAGTCCGCATTTTACATATGCCTGAGCCCCGTAAGGATATTTTATGGCCGCCATAATATCGGGACCAAGTTCGGAGAAGAGCCATGTATTTTATAAACTTGTTGGTAAATGAACAGGCAGACAGACTGGCTGGCTCTGCACAACTTTGTGGAATACTGATGCATGATAAAGCAGATATGTCTGGCTCGTGGTCTACGACCATTAATCTCTCTGGTGTTTACAGTTTTTACTTCTCTGTCATCTGACATTCTTTCAATATGCCCCAACCATTTCAGTCTATTAGCTCTTATGATGCAAGTGATCAAAGGTGATTTGAACAGATTATGAATTTTGTTGTTCCTTCTCACTCTGCATTCTCCACTGTTTGAATCTTTAATGGGTCCAAAGATTCGTTGTAAGATCCTGTTTTTGAAAACCTGTAATAAGGCTTCATCTCTTTTAATTGTGTTCCAAGTTTCAGAGCCATATAAAATGACAGCCAAATGTGATTGGTTTGTAAAATACAGGTTTAGTAAAATCTATTTTCAATACGTGTAAGCACATGCACTAGGGCCCTTTACTTTTATTCCAAATACAGTTTATTCCCAGATGAAAAGCCTTAGAAGAGCTGCAGGAGTTTCAAGGGAAGACAGAATACGAAATCAGACAAATGCTTGGAATAAAGCCAGTCTTACAAGTTATCAAAGAATGAAGTGGTTTGGACACCTAACAAGAATGCCCTGGTACTATCTGCCACAGCGAGCCACACTAAAATGTTACAACGGGTATAGAGCAAGTAGAAGACCTCGGAAAAGATGGGGTGATGGCATAAGGAACAGCCTTACAGAAATGAACATCAGTCTTAATAGTGCTCTTGACAGAGCTCATCAACGAATGTTACATCTCTCCCCGACACTTTGATGAGGTACAAGGTGAAAGAGAAGAAGAAAAACACGAAACAGTTTTTTTCCAAATACGGTTTATTCCAAATGCATGCTGTTCTATATATTCTCGTTTTGATGTCTACAGTTCAGAAAGGTGACTGCCGACTACACAGACTTGAGTCACTAGTGACGGAAGCAGAGAAGAGGGTCATCGATCTTACTGCCACGGTGCTGAGTGCTTCATCGGGCAATGCTAATGTGTCGCCAGCTCAGATGAAAGTAAGTCTCGTGAAAACTGTCGTGGTCAGTTTTCAACACTTCACTAATGTTCTGCATATACAGGGCACAACTGAAGCCATGACAAAAAAGCTGTCAAGCATGTTTTCACATTGTCTTTCTCTGTCTCTCTTTCCACAAATCTTTCTAGTGGTCACAACATGCTCCAATTTCCCTCTTCTGATAACATGACCAAACAAATTGTAACTGTCTTTTTCTGGTGTTTGTGATAAGCTGTCTTTGAGACTTCACCACTTTCAAAATATCTGCATTGCTCTTTTTAGCTGTACAAAAAATTCTAAGGATTCTTCTGTAATCACATCTCTGAGACCTCAAGAAATTTTCGGCTTGTTTATCATTTGTCCAGGATTTACAGCCGTGTGTTAGACCTGCCTCTGTACAGCATGTGAAACCTCTGTACAGCATGTGAAACCTCTGTACAGCATGTGAAACCTCTGTACAGCATGTGAGAATTCTTTTCCGAACTCCAAAGACGGATTTATTGCATAAAATGTTCTTCATATTATAAAATTGCAGTTTTGGTCTGTCCTATTCTGTTCTTTATCTCTGTGATACATCTTCCATTGGATGTTAACCACGTACCTAGATACTTAATTTTCTGTATTTGTCCTAAAATAATGCTTTTGACTTTTATTGTACAATTAAGCACTATTCCCAGGGGAAATGGGGGATCACCATTATTTTACCATTAATCATATGTAATGTTAAAATTTAATATTGAAACTGTGTCATGTTAAAAATTGATGACATTTGATGAGTTTAAAGTCACATGGTTGATTTAATGTTGTCTTGCAGGAAAATGAGAAACTGCTGGGTCATTGGGAATTCAGACACAAGTTACTAAAAAGAATGAAAGCAGGCTACGAACATGCACGTAAGTAAGAAAAAAAATGACCGTTTTACTCTCTTACACTTGAGCAGCTGACCAGACAGATAGAATTCTGAGCTTGCTTGCAGAAAGCCTGAGTTCAGTCCTCAGAGAATGGAAATTTGTTGTCAGTGCAAAAATAAAAAATCTTAACCTGTACTGTTCATGGAGTTCACACTAGCAAGGATCCTCGTGTGGGTTCCGGGGTCCTATTATAGGGAAAACAAGAATAGAACCACAGCCTAATTAAAAGCATGTCGTAAGAGTCGACTAATTGGGAGCTTCCTTCAAAGTCGAAGTGAATCTGCCTGAGAGGCAAGGGACCAGCAGTCTGCATACAAATGAGTTGGATCTGTCAAATGGATGCACACGCAACACTCCTGTCCGAAAGTGGATGAACAACCAGAACTTTCTGCCAAAGTTTACAGCTGGTGAACGTGAAGAAGAAGAAGAACTAGCAAGGAGGCCCTAAATCCTAAAAATATGGGATTAGCAACATATATCTCAGTGCTTTGAAACAGTTCTTTAAATAGCCTTATAAAACAATTCTTTAAATAGTCTTCTAAAACAATTCTTTAAATAGTCTTAAAAAACAATTCTTTAAATAGTCTAAAATTAACCAGTATCACAATGAGTGATAATTCATCATCATCATCATCATCATTGTCCTGCTGTGCTATTATATGTCACACAGTGCTCACAGTCTATTCCTCCATTCTGTTGTATCTTGTGCATTCCTTTTTATATCATGGATGGAATTTAGTCGAGCACCTTTGGCTTCTCTTATCAACGCTCATTTTAGGGTGGGGTTTTTTTTTTTAATGACCTGATTTCCTCAGTTCTTTAACTTCCCGTGTTAATGCCTGCTTAGTGATTCTCTGATGCCTGCTTAGTGATTCTCTGATGCCTGCTTAATGATTCTCTGCTCATTTATTCTCATGATGTGCTCAGTTTTAGGTCATCTTCTTCACTACTCTTGAATTCATCCCATTTGGTGCCTGACATTTCTTTTAAAATGCATTTAAATTAAAAGAAATGCACATAAGTTTTGTTTCATGTCCTTAGTAGCTCTAACTTTCACTGGTATATGCTACAACTGAGTGCTTATTGGTGCCTAGAAATTATACGTCTAGCACCAAAGAAAGAGAAAGAACCCTGTCTGTTGTCCGCACTGCTCAAGAACTTTCCGGGCTCATATTGGACTAATCAGCCACCTTCTTACTCATTATCATTGATCATTACTTCTATGGATGAAAATGTGGTCTTCATCACTCTTGATGGACAAACAACACAACACCTAATAAGCCGCGTTGTGGTAAAAATAAGAATAGAAACTCTGCCTCCCCAAAAAAGCATGTTGTAAGAGTCAACTGGAGTGCATCTGCCTGATGGTAACAGTCTGCATACAACTAAGTCAGACCTATAAAATGAATGTGCACTCAACACTCAGGTTCTTGAATAAGACTGCAGTCCAGCAGTGGACAAACAACAGGAACTTTATGCCGAAGTTTACAGCCAGTGAATGCGACAAAAAAGAAGAAGAAATAAAATTTATGTTTACATTATTAACTCTTTGAGTCCCAAGGAACACATCATATGTTCATGGGTTTCTACCTAGAAGCCCAATGAACGCAAGATGCGCCGATTTTATGACTCTGTTTACTACCCCCCTGGGCCTGTGATGCTAAAACCCCTTTGACTCAAAGAGTTAATAATCTGTAACATTAAATTTTATTGGTACTGTGTTTAAATATTCAATTTTGCCTTTCTTATTCAGGATCCCCTGAAGCACCAACAAATGTGAAACTTGAAGTGACCAGCAACTCTTCCCTCCTGGTCACTTTTTCTGAGCCTCAGAGTCACAATGGAGCAGTGGTCACAAAGTATAAAGGTCAGTTTACATTGACCGTATTGTATCTTCTGTATGTAACCATTTTTTAAAATCTGTATATTGCCTCAAGCTTTCACTTGCTATTTCTGGATTACTTTAGTTGTTACGCAGGCGTCGATGGAAATGAAAAGAGCTGACAGGTTGACTGGATCCGCTATCACTACCGACGGTCAGCCTATGGAAAATTATCAATGCTCTCAGAGAAAGTCAAGGATAGAGGACTTTGATGGCAAATCCACATCACTCGCCAGAATGGCCAACTTGGGAATTAAGATCGGGCAAAAAACGAGGCGCTTCACCAACACGCCAGAAGACTTGTTAATGACACATAGAACTGGACTATTAGCCATCGGACAGGAGTCCGGATCGATTGCACCTATGGACATGAGTGCAATGAGGATAACCCAACTAATTGGGAGGACATAGTTGATCCTGAGCTCATTAACAAGAAACATGTTATTGGCATGTAACCACATATAGAACGAGGTGAAGTCAGTCACTGGTTGCGGGCACTCATCCCCATGTGGGGTGAAAATTTTCTTTATTTGAAGCTCCACCCTGGCTTCTGCCGGGGCCCCTGAATATAGCCATAAAGAGAAGAAGAATGGCTGAAAGGGGTTTCTGGGACCTCTCCACGGGTGGTCCTCATCTGCATGGTGGCACTTTGTGTCACTGGGTGTTTATCACTTGTGTGATGTCCTGGTGGGGCACAACAAGAGAGAGAGAGAAAGTCACTGCATCCATTAAATTGGCTAAAAAATACAAAGATTCTTGTCAGATTCTTGTTTAGCTATCTTATCAGTTGCTCTTTAATAAATTTAATAAATTGGGTCAGTCCTAGTCTTATAATTTCTTAATTTTTACTTTTATCTATACACCTATGTCAGCTCTGTGGCTAAGTCGATGGGAACGCTTCGTAATGCTGGGATGCGAGTTCAATCCCAGCTGCGGGTCATGCGCCTTGCTTTGGTTTCGACAGTGGAATCAAGAAAGCTGACCGTTTAGAAAGCAATGGCAAACTACTGGACGTAAATTTGCCTAGAAAAACCACACAACAGCCCGGAGCTGTTGGAGTTGGTTCTGCAACGACCTGTAAAGGATACACAACTAACCTGTACACCTATACACCTTTAAGTCACAAGCAGATATTAATACTAGTTTGTATATTTGTTGCTTACAGTTGAATGGAGCAACAATGAGAATTACCAGCCCCTGTCAGGGGAGACAACCACAGAAAACCTGTCTCGCTTGGAGGTGAACCTCAAAAACCTAACCAAGGGGGACACATATTTTGTACGTGTCTGTGCCTGGAACATGAAAGGTTATGGGCCTTTCTCCAGCAGTGAACCTGCTTCGGCTGTACCCTCGAGTGAGTCCTTGTAAAATACTGTCTGTATTTACCACTTTTTGGAGCGGTGTATTTGGGGCAGACGTGGGGGGGGGGGGGGGGTCAGAGTTAGGATTTATGGCTGATGCTGTCCCCATGAACTGTGCAGGTTAGGATGTTTATTTTCGCTCCTGACAGAAAAGCTCCATCACCTTACTGGAGTCAAATCCAGGTCCCCCGGTGAGAGCCTGATGCTATAACCACTTGGCCAGCCAAACCATAAAAACTGTGTATAGTGAACGAACAAACAAACAAACTTTATTTTCAAAGGGTATTTTCAAAGGGTATTTATTTTCAAAAGCTGAATGAAAGATGCCCCTGTAGTTGCCAGATATATTTAGTATACAGTGAGCAAAAACTATAAGAAGACACTTGATGTGATGTTTTAGACATCTGGAAAATAGTCAGTAAATCATCTTGTGTTGATTAGAATAGTCAGTAAATCATCTTGTGTTGATTAGGACTGAATGTGTTTTAAACCTAATTGCAAGGACAATTATGGTGTCAGTCACTGTGTGACTACTGAGCCATCATGCTGAAACATGTGGGAGGGTTGTGGTTCTCATTTTTGCATGATCACACATTGCGTGTTGTTTGGGACAGAAATAATAAATAAATATATATATATTTTTTTTATAGCAATATGACATAATCATCGTGTAGAAGGTCCTTTGCAAAACGTCACTCCCCATCATGATCTGCCCGAAAGAAACTCAGTCTTTCGGCAGCTCTCCCACCTCGTTCACTTTCCAACCCAAGATGTCACTTATATCCTGTGCCCATCTTCGTGCTGGTTGGCCCCTATCACTCTTTCCTGGTACCATGCCTTCTGCTATTAATTTGTTACCGGTCCGTTGTGGCCCTTAAAGTAGCCAAAGTATTTCAGTTTCTATTGCAGATATAGATAATCTATTTCAAGCGAACGAAAGAAGAAGAATTATTATTTAAGTTTCTTAGAGAAGATGCTGTTTACTAGCCAATCCTCCATGATGTTCAGATCCTTTATGATGTCAGTGTTTCTCACCTTCTTTGTCTCTCAGATCCTTTATGATGTCAGTGTTTCTCACCTTCTTTGTCTGTGTTATCCTAAGAATCTGCCTAATGCCTGTCAGCTCAAAATCCCCATTTTTGTTCTTTAAGGACTGAACAGCCATAGTATTTTTTCAAAATTCTAACGTCTAAATTTATGACCAGGTTGGCGAGAGGTGGAAGACATCCCTCCAAGATTAGAAGGCAAAGTTGCCTCCCTGTACACCCTTTACCATCAAGTTAAGAGGTCACGGCCACCAGAGGCTGCAGAAATGAAAGGTAGTTTGAATATTATTGTTTTGGTTCCATCTTGTTTGTTCTGTTTAGATTTATTTTACATTTTTACTTATTTTATTTAGATATTTTATAGCTTTATTGTCTTAGCTATTTTGATCCCAAACAATGCACCGCATAAGGCTGGATTTACTTGTATGCACGGTTAACATAGTATTATGCTTGTGCATTTTATGTTTAGTCGTGTTTTAGTCGTGTCTTGCTAAAGCACTAAACAACACAGTTCTCTCCCATCCCACAAGGGATGTGTATCTGGGCCCTTTGGATGTAACAGGCCCAGTATTTTGTTGATTTCACAACTGACTCACTGGGGCATGAATTTGTTCAGAATTGGTTCCAAGTGGGATTGTTATCTTTCTTTTGGAGTTTTCAAAGCAAGCTGAGAGAGGGATCATACAGCATGAGGTACACATGGTCACTACAATACTGGTCACTACAATGCCCCAAGCTTTCTGCTACGGAGAAGATGAAGTGTCATTACCATGGGCTAGGATTTATGTGCTTCCCTCTAACAATGTGGAACACTATTGTCTGATAAGACAGGAAGGGGATAATAATAATAATGAGTTCATGATTCAGTAAAGATACGTTAATATTTATCATTCCAGATATCTTAAATAAAGGAACAGAGTCACCTATGCAGAAGAAAAGAATTAGCATCAAGAACTTGTTTGTTTCTGCACCAAAATTTCAAAAGACGATAAAGAGGTATGTTGTTGCATTAAAACCTTCATCATCATCATCATTTCTCTTTATTCCCCGTGTGGGTTCCGGGGCCCCATTATGAGGAAAACAAGAATAGACCCACTGCCTCCCTAAAAGCATGCCGTAAGAGTTGACTAACTGGGGAGCTTCCTTTGAAGTCGGAGGGCATCTGCTGGAGAGGCAAAGAACCAACAGTCTGTATTCAAGAGAATGAGATCTGTAAAACTTATGCACACGCAACACTCAGGTGTCAGAAATGCAGCATTCAGTTCACTTTCCATCATTCATCTCCATGTTGTTTTTGGACGCTCCTTCTTTCTCTTTCCCTCTGGTGTCCAAGTGAGAACTGTTTCTCATAACTTGGCCAAGCCATTTCCATTTTCTAGAGCTTCTTGGTTTTGTTTGTGAAGTAATGTAGTGTTTAACATTGTTTCTGGCCAGAACATTTTGATAATTCTATGTAGACATGTGTGGTGGAAGGTGAATAGCTTGGCTTTACAACCTTGGACATCCAACATGGTTTATCTCAATAATTTGAAAGTGATTAGAGCACACACACACACAAGCTTATCAAACAGAAAGAGTACATCACAAATAAGGGAGCCGTCGTGGTGTAGCGGCTAGACGCACATGCGGATCCAGAGGTCATCATTTCAGGTCATGACAGACCCAGATTCTTTTTTTTATGAATCAGGTAAATCCAGCCTCAAACAAGTAACAGGTAAAGTCCTGAGAAGTAAAGGCAGCCAGTGTGATGTTGACTTCATCCCCTCCCCCCATCCCTAGTGCCAGTATGTCTATAAAATCTAGGTCTAGCCCTATATGCCTAATAAACCTGAAGGAGTGGAAAAGGGTTATTTACTTACTTTACTTGAGAAAAAGTAAACTTAATGGTTTTAAAAAGTCCCATGAAGATGGATTTTTCAATAATTGACCTTAACTCATTTATTAAACTGCTCTTTTAAGGGCAGACACAGAAAAAGAAGAAGCACCTAATAATGTAATAATAAGGATAATAACAGAGACGATGACAATGAAATTTTGGAGTTAAAAATCTACCCAAAGTATTTCAGGATCCTCACCGGTGCTACAGAGCCTGTGCACTGTGCTGAGCTTCTTCGGACTCAGACTTGAGTTAGAAGAAGAACAGAGCACTTATGGGTTACTACCGGTGTGCCGTGATGTTGATCCTTTGTTCAGAACCTCACAACTGACAATGTAAACCTTGGCTGTCACACAGGGGTGTTTACATGGCCTGCCTCTTCTACTGTGAAGATAAGATATTGGTGACTTCGGAGGAGCAGCTGCCAATTATTGAAGTTGATGAAACTTTTTCTGGACCCTCCATTCAAAATGATCTCTACTGGTTGCTAAAGGTAAGCTGATTCATTGTTTACACCAGTGGTTTTCAAACTTGGGAGCGCACCCTCTTTCCTCCCCCTCAAGGAAGTACGAGAAATTGTAAAGGGGCATCAAGGGGCATTTTGAAAGTGAGTTCATTTGTACTTGTGACTCTCTCATTTCCAGTTAGTTGATACTTTGACTCTCTCTGTCCCAGACATCTGAGCTTAAAAACAGTAAATATTTTGGTCTGGAGAAGTTCAGCATACAACACCATGAGGCAGAAGTAGGTCAAATAATAATTTAAATACAAAGGGTTAATTCAGTTGCTGACTGTGATAGAAGACAGCAACAACATTGTATTTCTTAGGAGTGACCATGGAAAGCATGATGCCTTGTGTAGTACTGAAGGAGTTGATAATCTGTTACTTTTTTTTTCAGTTTAATTTAAAAATATTTTAAAACTATTTTTAAGCACTTATAAGACCTATAAAACAAGAGACTTGGCTGAACAGATGGGCAATGGGAGATACTGGAAGGTAATTTTACACACATATGGCTGGCCCTGATCCTAACGACAGCATCAGCCATATTACAAGGAGGGACCAGGCCACCATCTGCAGACTCAGAATACAATATATTTTACTTAATGGGCATCTAAACAGAATACAGCCACAACACCTCCCAGAGTGCCAGCTATGTAAATACCTCTATGAAACTGTTGACCAAGATCTCTTTGAGTGTCTAGAACTCAATGAGACTAGAAGAATGCTACTCCCTCTGAGACCAGACAAGTGGAACACCAAGCGGAGGAAAAGAACAGCTTGTGAAAACATGTAAATTCCACTATACGGCATTGGGCCAAAGGGTGAAAGTTCATGCGATACTGGATCAATAACAACAACTAATTTTTTTTTAAAGATTGGACATTGTATTATTTGACCCTTTGATTTATATAGATGTTTTTCTCGAAATGTTTAATAATAGTCTTTGGGATTTTCTCTTCTCTTTTTTAATCACATTTGTTTTAGAAAGTTGAGTGGTTTGAGTGGCGTGGGGGGGGGGGGGGGGGGGGGGGGGTGTGGTTAACCATATATTTAAAGGAGCACCACCTGGAAAAGGTTGAAAACCCCTGTTTACACCTTCCATTTGTGTCACTTACCTGTTAACACCATCGTTTATTAGACTTGATGGGGCAGGTATTCTTCCTCTGGATTCAGCCTTAATAGGGCAGTCGTGACATTATGTTGTTGTTTACAGCTGGGTTGCATAATCTGCACTTTTTGGCAGTTTAACAAACCCTTTAGGAGGGGCCGCTGGCCAAGAGGTGGCAATGTCAGGCTCTCATGCAGGAGACCTGGGTTCACCCCAGGTAAGGTGATAGAGTTTTTCTGTCAGGGGAAAAATTAAACATTCTAACCTGCACAGTCCGTGGCGACAGCACTAGCCATGCTGTCCTAAATTCTCAGGCTCATGACCCTCTGGCTACATCACCCAAAAAAAAGTGGTAAAACAGTTGTGACTGTTTTGTTTTTTTTAGTTCCATTACCTATTACATGCCTGCTAAAGGGGCAGAAGAAGAAAAAGAAGCAGCAGCATTTAACTTGGCTTCAAGTGGCAAGACAAGATCACAACTGCTGAAGAATTAAAAGAGCAGGTATCACAACAATTTTCTCAAAGGCTCCGATGGCTGGGTCACACTTGGAGGATGTAAGGTGGTAGAGTGTCTAAGGACATCCTCTGTGGTGAATTACAAATGGGTAGAAGATGCCGAGGTCAGCCTGGACTTTAATATAAAGATGTGTGCAAGTGGGACAAGAATGATACAGATATTGAGGTAGATTTGTAGGAACAAAATCTTTTTTTTTCTTCTTCATATTCACCAGCTGTAAACTCTGGTAGAAAGTTCTGGTTGTTCTTCCACTTTTGGACTGCAGTCCTGTTTCAGAAGTTCTGAGTGTTGTGTGTTCATCTGTTTTACCGATCTGACTCATTTGTATGCAGTCTGCTGGTTCCTTGCCTCTCAGGCAGATGCACTCCGACTTCAAAGGAACAAAATAATATGGCTCGAATTAACACGGAAGTGGAAAATCAGGATTGGAATCGGAATAAAGAAATAACTACTTGCAGAAACGTTGAGAACGTTACATCTGAGAACAAGCACATGAATTGCATGTGATGGCAACAATCGTCCTGAAATCCTGCGCTCTAATTATGGAAGTCCTTTCCTAACATGGGCAGATTTTGCTTGTCACGCTCTCTGCCACCATGATGTGATTCATTTACATCTCTAAAACACAATATAACTATCATAGGAAAGACGTAAAGGTGTCACTACTTAGGGAGCAAGGGTCAACTCTTTTTTTTTCCTCCTCAAAATTGGATTCTGGAACCGGCACGAGGGATATGTGGGCATTCAAGATGTTGGCTTTGCTGTTTTCTGTAAACTCTGATGATGATATTCCTCCATGTCAACTTAGATCACCCAATTTGATTTCTCTCTGTCTTCATGTACCTCTTCTATAATGTCCTGATGGTGTCTTGGTACAACAGGTGTCCTGTATGTGGGAGGACATCAAGGTACTCAAGCAGGACATGGAGAAGACCAGCAGTGCCGGTTCAACCTTCAGATGTAAGCTGCTGCAGGCCATTGTATCCTTGCAGGTACAGATTGTCGTTTTTTTTTTTATATGTTGACCTTTTAAAACACTTTTGCTGTTTGCATTTTTATATAAACCTTTTAAAACACTTTTGCTGCTTTTAAAGCACTTTTGCTGTTTGGATTTTTTTATATGAACCTTTTAAAGCACTTTTGCTGTTTGGATTTTTTTATATAAACCTTTTAAAGCACTTTTGCTGTTTGGATTTTGGATTTTTTTATATAAACCTTTTAAAGCACTTATGCTGTTTGGATTTTTTTTTATATGGACTTTTTAAAACACTTTTGCTGTTTGCATTTGTATATGAACCTTATAAAGTACTTTTGCTGTTTGCATGTAAGTATAGTTCGAAAGGAAGTTTTTCATAAAATTTTGAAGCACATGCTTGAAGGGGTAAACATACTGAAATCAGTCTGAGTGTGTAGAGACCGTGGCTACCATCACCTCACCCATGTGGTCATTTAAAAGAAGGAAAGAAATGGCAAACTACCTTCTCCCAGTCATGATTTTACACCTTAAAAATTGAGGTTCATGGAAAGAGATTAAGGAGAAAGAAAAATAAATACCTTAGCTATATGGATGGGGGTAAGACAAAAACACTGACCTGATCCAGGATGCTGGTGATTGTATGAGATGACAAAACATGGCAGCCTATTCTTGTTTAATTTCTGCTAAATCTTATTTTATGAGAATAAATGAGAATGAATCCTGATGTACCTGTTAAAACAGCTCTCACATGGACACCAGAGGGAAAAAGAAAACAGGGGCGCCCAAAAACAACATGGAGACGAACGATGGAAAGTGACCTGAGTGCGGCATCTTTGACATAGAAAACTGCACCGGACAGGAAAGCATGAAAAGTCCTTTCTGAAGCCTCATGTGCCACTAGGCATAACAAGAACTGATATATATATAAATATTATTTTGTGTAGACTGGCCTGGGCGTACAAGATCTGGGACAGTTCTTCCATCGGCCAGTCCGGGACAACAACAGCAGCATTATATTCACAGTGGTTAATCAGATCCGCGACCCCAAACTTGTGACCCTGGGATCCAGTAAGTGGGTGACGTTTGGCAAGTTGGCTCGGAGACAAAGTTTATCCACGGTGGATGCTACAGATGCTCATAGTCTTCTGGTCAGTGCTGTGCCGGTAAGTACAATTATCGTTAAGATTTCTCATCGTAGGTTTATCATCCTTGGTTATTTCAGATGTGGGATCATACACCCATTTTAGGCGGTAATAAAGGTAAAGATGCAGGAACATGTGGAGATATAGCCAGGTTTTTGTCCTGGCAGTATGCGGTACTGACATCTTTTTAAGGCATCACTTTTTCAGTGCTATTGCAATAGACACTTTGTGATGAGTACTGAGACCTTTTTAGACACTTTGTGATGAGTACTGAGACCTCCTCATACACTGTGGTGAGTACTGAGACCTATTTTTAGACACTTTGTGCTGAGTACTTGGACCTTTTTAGACACTTTGTGCTGAGTACTTGGACCTTTTTAGACACTTTGTGCTGAGTACTTGGACCTTTTTAGACACTTTGTGCTGAGTACTTGGACCTTTTTAGACATTTTGTGCTGAGTACTTGGACCTTTTTAGACACTTTGTGCTGAGTACTTGGACCTTTTTAGACATTTTGTGCTGAGTACTCAGACCTTTTTAGACACTTTGTGCTGAGTACTCAGACCTTTTTAGACACTTTGTGCTGAGTACTCAGACCTTTTTAGACACTTTGGGCTGAGTACTTGGACCTTTTTAGACACTTTGTGCTGAGTACTTGTACATTTTTAGACACTTTATGCTGAGTACTTGGACCTTTTTAGACACTTTATGCTGAGTACTTGGTACATTCTTTTTCTAAAAACGAAAAAAAAAACAGTCTGTATATAACAATATGAATAGAAAAGAAGGAAAGAGGAGATTGCACAGCAGCCAAGGGCAATTGGGCAGCAGCCGCTGCCTTGCATTTTTAAATGGCGGTATCAAGAGAAAGCAATGGCAAACTAATGGATGTAAACTTGCCTAGTGAAATCTCAAGCAGCAAAAATAAAATGATATACTTTGTTCTGCAATGTCCTGTAAGGCAGAGGTTCTCAAACTGGGTGCCGCGAAAATAAAAAAAGATGTAATGCAAAATTAATCCAAACGGTTTCATTCATCCCATTAAAGACAAGTAAATATTAAATTGCACTTTCGGTTTTTTTCCTTCCCTAAGTATTCAACTGCTCTAATGGTAGGTGTGCCGGGAAAATATTTTAGCCTGACAAGGGTGCCACAGCGAAAAAAGTTTGAGAATTGCTGCTGTAAGGGTTACACAACTAACTTTTACTTTTTTGTTTCCTAATACATTTATAGTCATAGCAATTTTCCTTTAAAATTTATGATAAAATAAAATTACTTGTCCTCATCTGCACAGGAAATGATTATGTACAACCAAGTCAGTGGGATCTGCTTGCCAAGGGGACTGTACCTAGGATATGTCAAGCTTCAAGCCTCAGTGGAAGTCCTGAGAGTTATGGTACCTAACAGAACCCCAAACTGTGTGCCCCATGTGAAGATTAGGGACTGTCCTAATGTGTCTAGGTCAGTCTATCATTTATACATCCGCAGTCATTGTTTTAAAAATTTCAACATTTTATACCTCAAGTGATCTTAGTCTGTGGTTTTTGGTAACAACTGAAATTATAGATTCTTCTAAATTCGATTAAAAAACCAATTGTCTTTTGAGATTTTTATTGAATTAGAATAAGAAAAAGTCATGGAAACTGAAACAATCAAATACACAAATTGTATTTTTCACAACCAGTGGTATTCCTGACAGATGCAAAAGCAGTAATTCAGTCACTCCAGTCTGGAAAATTACCAAGCATACGGACACTATTATCCGAACTAGGCAACCGCTGTAAATTAGTAATGCAGTGGATACCTTCCCACTGTGGAGTTCCCGGAAACGAAAAAGCTGATAAACTAGCTAAGGAAGGTGCAACTGAAGAACAACCTAACATACCAGTCCACTATCAACAGAAGAAGAGAATGATCAAATCAATCAGAATGCCACCGAACTGGCACAAGATGATTACCATATTATGGACAGACCAGAGCAAGTCATTATCCTTCGCCTTAGAACAGGGCACAATCGACTTCGCTCCCACATGTACAACAAATTTAAGATTGGCCAATCAGCCATGTGTACTTGTGGACTGGCACCTGAAACAACAGATCACATCCTTCAAGACTGTCCCAGATTCAATGCTTTCAGGCAAAACCTTTGGCCAAAAGAGACACTTGTGGAAGTCAAACTTTACGGGCCGCTTAGTGAATTACAAAAGACAGTGAAATTCATACTAGAGACAGCTTTGCAGATATAGACAATTTATTTCATGCGAACGAAAGAAGAAGAAGAAGAAGAAATACACAAATTCTGAAAAGACTGAGAATGACAAGAGAGTTATTGAATAAAATAGGAATTTTTTTTAAAGTCAAGTTTTGGAAGCTGTAGATACATTAGCTAAATTTTTGCTAGATTAAAAGTAGTGGCTACTGGTGAATAGTCGCTGCGGAACTGCAACACTTCTTATTGTCAGTCAGTGAAAAAAAATATTTCTTCTTCTTCTTTTTCTTTCGTCTCTAACTAATACCAGGTTTTAGCCCAGTGTCGTGGTTTTTCTGCATTTGTCTTGCGCTTCTCGGGTGCCTTAGGTGATATATTTTGGTTGTCTACCGACTGTTCCCTTATGACCTCATTCCTGATTTCATCTCTTCTGGTCACTCCTGCAGCCCTTCTCAGACATCTCTTTTCCATACTTGTTGATTTTCTTTTATAATTTGTTGGGAGTGACCATGTCTGGAACTGGTAGCATAGAATTGTAATCATGAGTGACCATGTCTGGAACTGGTAGCATAGAATTGTAATCATGAGTGACCATGTCTGGAACTGGTAGCATAGAATTGTAATCATGAGTGACCATGTCTGGAACTGGTAGCATAGAATTGTAATCATGAGTGACCATGTCTGGAACTGGTAGCATATAATTGGAATCATGAGTGACCATGTCTGGAACAGGTAGCATAGAATTGGAATCATGAGTGACCATGTCTGGAACTGGTAGCATAGAATTGTAATCATGAGGGACCATGTTCCACCAGCAACTGGTAGCATAGAATTGTAATCATGAGTGACCATGTCTGGAACTGGTAGCATAGAACTGGAATCAATGTGCTTTTTTTTTTATAAGATGTATCTTTTTTTCTGACTGGGATTGTTGTATGCTGTAAGAGGATTGCTGTCAGTGGGTACCAAATATGGTCTGGGAAGTAAAGGGGGCCAGCGTGCATTGACCACATCACCCATCAAGTGCCAGTTGGTCAATAAAATAAAAGTTTAGATCCACAGGCCTTGAAGACTTGGAAAAGATTTCTTATCTTTCTTCCTGTTGACATTACTACTGTCTTTTCATGTTGGTTCTCATATTTTTTGTTTTGCATTCTTAATTCATAGATGCTGTATTTGCCTATCAAAATCTATATTAGTTTAATTTGTGTATGTGTGCTAATACTGTGCTTCTTACATTTGTCTGCTGTAGGGAGGAGTGGGAGTGGCTGCTAAAATGTGGTTATGGCAAATTCAGTGATAACAACATGACTCCCGCACAGAAGAGCTTTCACAAATTGTTTATGGATGCTACAAAGAAAATATTCACACAGCTTGGTAAGCGCTGTAGTCACTTTTTGTAGACTAACTGTTAATTAGACATGTTTATGGACATATTATTACCTGTTTGTAAACAAACTGTTAATGAAACATGTTTGTAGACAAATTGTTACATGTTTGTAAACTAATTGTTAATGAAACATGTTTGTAAGCAAATTGTCCATCAGACATGTTTTAGACAACCTTTTATTGAGACATGTTTGTAAACAAATTGTTACTTGTTACTAAAACATCTTTGTAGACAATTTGTTAATGAGACATGTTTGTAGACAGTTTGTACACAGTTTGTTAATGTGACTTGTTTGTAGACAAATTGTCAATGAGACATGTTTCTAGACAAATTGATAATCGCTGATTTTCCCCAAACATGATGGCAAACTTAGACAAACATGTGGGCCACTGCCACCTGGTGGGATTAAAAACACAACACCCAGAGATAAAAGACACAAATTGAGAGAGAAAGTGAGGACATCCAAGGATAACTCTCTGATAAAAAACACACGCGCACACACAAACATGTACGTACCCTATGACAAACACATGTATACATCATCACATGGCATTGGGTCGAAGGATGGAAGACCAAACATTGCTGAATCAGCTCTTCTGCCTTTTCTACTTCATTCACCCTTAAAAAGGTGGTTGGCATATTGTCTTGTGCTTGTTAAAGCTGGACTGCGATATTTGTGCATTTTGGCTCCAGTAGACCCCTTATCGGTCATCTTTTCTGACATCGCCCACTAAATGCTCATTGGTCTATTGAATATCACTATATGTTGGCGGCTGTGGCTTGGGCTGATTACTGGACGTGAAATTTGTCTATAAAAACCACAACAGCCAAAACATTCTGGGGTTGGTTCTGCAGTGTCCTGTAAAAGGATACACAACTAACTAACTAGCACTGGATGCCCACTATGCCCAAAGGCATGGGAAAAGAGTTCTTTATGACTTGCATGTTTGTGATACGATTGGAGGTGGGGGAGGGGGGAAGATCGATCTGCTGCCCCCTGACAAGCATGTCACACAGGTGGACCGATTAGGGGGCATTTCATTTGTAGTCGGAGTGTATTTGCCTGAGATATGAGGAACAAACAGTCTGCATAAAAAAAATTTACTAGATCTGTAATATGGATGTGCACATAAAACTCAAGTTTTGGAACAACATAGAAGTTGAGAAGCAGATGAACAACCGGAACTTTCCACTGGAGTTTACAGTTGGTGAATGCAAAGAGGATGAAGAAGACCTAGCCTAAAATAATGTTGACCACATCAGCCACCAGGGAAGGTTGGTCTCTAAATATGAGTCCAGCATCCTTTGCCCGAAGCACCATAGTTTTTTTTTTTTTTTTTAATGCAGTGGATCCATTTTTTTTTTTCTACATTGGGGTCCAGTGACCCACATAGTGGGGAGCCACAGGTGTAAAAAAAAAAAAAAAAAATTTCAAGTCCTTAACTGAAATATGTATTTTTTTCAGATCTCTCAGAAGATACAATAGCAAGCCATCGAATATACGACCTGGAAGTTCTCGAACTGTCTCCCTCAGTTACGATGATCCTGGTGATGCCTTCCATCGAAGACATCTGTATAGTCCCAGGACATTCAGACAGCCTTGCCAAGAGAGCAGACTTCAGCTTTCTGCCTGTGCAGATCTTTGAGTCCAGTAAGTACATACTTGAAAAGCATTCTGATGTTTTTGACATTGGTTTCGAACAGGTTCCCTTTTCATGGTCTGCTTTGACCCTTGCGATTATCTCAAGTGTTCACTGGCTTTAAACTCTGGCGGAAAAATTCTGGTGTTTGTCAACCTCTGGACTTTAGTCTTGTTCCAGAAACTGAGTATTGCGTGCACATCCATCTTACGGAACTGGCATGTTTGCCTCTCAGGCAGATGACTCTGACTTTGGAGGAGCCAACCCCCCACCCCCCCTCAAAAAAATTAATTCAATTTTTACGACAAGCCTGTTGAGTAGGCAGTAGGTCTATTCTTGTTTATGTGCATAGCTGGGTTAAAAAACAAAAATGTTCATTAAGGAAGGAAACATTCAGGCCTGCTTACTAGTGTACGGCTCGGCTAACTCAGGGGAAAATTAACAATCTAGTGTGGGAACTTCTGGAACATCCACTTTGCAGCCTCGACTTAGGCCCTAGCGATTTCCTCTTTTTTTTTTTCTGGTTTACTGAAAACCCACCTTTGCGGGAGACATTTCGCCAATGATGCAGAAGTTGAATGTGAAGTGAAAATGTGGTTAAGAAAACAAAGCATACAGCTCTATGGTACTGGGTGCAGTCCTGGGAAGTAAAGGCGGCCGACGTGATGCTGACCATATCACCCATCTTGTGCCGATTGGTCTATTAAATATAGGTCTAGCCCTATATGCCCTTTACACTTAAAGGTAAGGAAACAAGGACCTTTACTTAAGACAGTTCTTGAATTCATGTGGTAGTCTCCCCTGACTGTCATAGATAGAGAAAAATTGTTTAAATATGATTGGATTCTTATTATGTAATGTCATTCCCTGACTTTACAGTTAGTCCATTTTTATTTTTATTACAGTTCACATGCATGCCTACTTGCCAGAGTTTTTCTCCATGTACGCTCGACTTTCTGCCATAGTGGAGATGGATGGAGTGTTGGCGCAGCAAGGTCACAGGGAGGTCAGTACCAGCATTTTTTTTTTACACTCATCTCTCATGCCAGGAGAAAAAAAAGCATGCTTTCGCCCATTCGCCCAAAGAAAATTAACAAAAACAGAAGTTGTGACCCCATTAGAATTCCAGAATGTTGAACAGAACCCACATCACAGCAGTCGGGAGTCCCCATCTTCAGCAGCAAGCAAAGAGTTTCAATTCTGATGGTACCAGTAGCCATCTGATTTTAAGAATCCAGAAAAATCCATAAAATTTTTTTTTTTTTTTTACACAGGACACTAAAAAATTCATTAAAAGTGTATTTATGTATATTTAAATATGTTTTCTAAAGATATATGAACAAAGTAATCAAAAGATATGATTGGGTGAAGCATTAAATGGGACACATTCCCGGGGCCTTAAAAAAAAAATGGGTGACTGATTGATTCCTTGACCCCATGACCTTTATCACTGAGGCTTAAGTCTAATATAAACTTGACTTTGAAAGAGCCATTTAGCTCAAAAGACCCTCCCCTCAGCCCCCCCCCCCCCCCCCCCAATATGGTGTTACTTAATGTAATCCTATTCTGACACAACCATTTGCGCAGACATAGAAACAGCCAATAGCATAAACTATGTACCTTATGAAAAGGTCACTTTAGACAAGTCATAAAAGTGATGCTTATGGGGAATGGCACCTGTCGGAAGTGGCAGTTTTTCGGGGAGAAAAGGGTTAAGTGAATCAGGGGGGGTGAGTAGGAAGAAGAAAGCAGGCAAGAGAATTTGCAGTTGCGAAATATCAAAATATATCTTGCATGTGTCCATTCTGTTTGTTTTTCTTTTCTCTTTTTTTGTATCCTCTGACAAGTCTGCCTGTCTTATGCCTGGTCTTTCTTGTGCCTCTGTATCCAATCATCCAGTCTGTCTGTCTTTCGTATGTCAGTTATGTCTGTCTTTCTTGTGCTTCTGTGTACAGTGTCATTTTTCCTCTGGTCTTGACTGTCCATCTGACTTATATTATATATATTATATATATATATATATATATATATATATATATATATATATATATATATAATATATATATATATATATATATATATATTATATATATATATATATATATATATATATATTATATATATAGATATATGTGTTTTTTTAAAAATGGGTTTTTGCAAATTATAATTTCTTCTGCCTTTCTAGCCCCCAGTGGAGCTTAGGTCCTCGACCAACTCACACCAAGTCGTTAGCATGCAGCTCTCCCCATCTTTCTAACTTCATTCTCCAGCTCCCTTCTCCATGTGTTTTTTTTTTTTTACTTTTCTTTATTCCTATGCCCCTGTGGATTCCAATGCAAAGACGCTGTATTGTTCTCCAGTTTCTCAATGTGTGTCCTATCCAATGCCAGCGTCTTTTCTTCACCTCTTGGTCCACTGGAGCTTGTTTAGTTCTCTCCCAAAGCTCTACAATAGTGATTCTATCATTCCATTTAATTCCGTCTGTTCTGCGCAGGCACCAGTTAATGAATGTTTGTAGTTTATTAGTAATTGCCTTAGTTGTTTGTAGTTTATTAGTAATTGCCTTAGTTGTTTTCCATGTTTCCGCCCCATACAAAAGTACTGATTTGACATTTTAAGTTTAGTATTTCTCTACATTTCTTTTGACCTCCACAAATTCCCTAGTGCTATGAAAGCTCCTCATTTAAGTTCATTTAAAGATAGAAGCCATTGTTTCCGAGATAACATGTTCACATGTCTGATGCAGGCATTTTCAACTGAAGAACTCAGTAAAGCCAAAGAACAAGTCGAGGTCACAACACACCTTCAGCAAAATCTGGACAGAATATGGAAGTGTGCCCGCTGGATTCGTGACATCACAACCTATGCAAGGAACCGAGAAAAGAAAGCGGGCATTCATCTGTCCCACATATTTTCAAACAACCTGATAACCAACAACAACTGTAGCAGACGAGACAATGAGAACATGATATCATCCAGCATAAGCAGTGAAGTGAATAACAAAATGCTCCATTTTCGCCATTCTTCATCTTCTTCCATGTACGTACAGAACTCTAGTTCGGACTCGGTCACTGAGAAAGACCATACAAACAGTACAGACGTTTCTGATACTAGTGAGGAGAATCCTCTTAGCTCTTTCAGTATCACCTCTGATGGTGCTTCTGATAATATGGACAAAGAGGCATCTACATCATGTGTTTCATCGCTAGCCACTCCACTACAGAACATCTCTCAAGTTTCGCCTTCACCTTCTTTTTCTGTAGCATCATCGACGTCATCATCATCATCAAATATTGCACCAACAGAATCGACCCCACCGCCACAAGACTCATCATATGCCATCATTAAGGTCCATGCTTTGTACGACACCGGGCTGAACAAAAATGTGAACATTAAGCTGCACATCACGGAACAAACAACTTCACGAGATATTATCAATTTAGTCGTCAGGCACCTCAAGTGCCATGGTTCAGAATAAAGGTAAAGGGGTTTTTGTCTACACAGAGGAATCTTTAGCCAGCTTCTGCTTGGTTCTCAAATTGCAAGGACACAAGAAGGTACTGCGGGATGACTACAAGCTGCTTCAACTGAAGAGTCAGCTGCAGAAAGCCAAAGTCTACATCACCATGTTGGATTCTGTGTTTTCAGAGGAGCAGCTAGGTCAGGCTTCATTTGTGTGATTCGTGTGAGACAATAGGTGTGCACAAGACGTGTGGTTTGTGTGAGACAATAGGTGTGCACAAGAAATGTTTCTTTTGTGAAATTGTTAGGGCAAGTTTCCTTCTAATGGTGAGATTCAGGGGGTGGACAAGTGTGCACATGACGTCTAAGGTGATTTGTAAGGGGTGAGACAATAGGTGTGTGCAGTTTCTTTTGTCTAAGGGGGGTGAGAACAAGTTTCTTTTGTCTAAGGGGGTTTCTTTGTTAAGGGGTGAGACAATAAGGGTGAGAACAAGTTTCTTTTGTCTAAGGGGTGAAGTTCTTTTGTCTAAGAGACAACTTTTTCTTTTGTTAAGGGGTGAGAACAAGTTCTTTTGTCTAAGGGGTAGACAAGTTTCTTTTGTCTAAGGGGTGAGACAAGTTTCTTTTGTCTAAGGGGTGAGAACATGTTTCTTTTGTCTAAGGGGTGAGAACAAGTTTCTTTTGTCTAAGGGGTGAGAACAAGTTTCTTTTGTCTAAGGGGTGAGAACAAGTTTCTTTTGTCTAAGGGGTAGACAAGTTTCTTTTGTCTAAGGGGTGAGAACAAGTTTCTTTTGTCTAAGGGGTGAGAACAAGTTTCTTTTGTCTAAGGGGTGAGAACAAGTTTCTTTTGTCTAAGGGGTGAGAACAAGTTTCTTTTGTCTAAGGGGTGAGAACAAGTTTTTTTGTTAAGGGGTGAGAACAAGTTTTCTTTGTCTAAGGGGTGAGAACAAGTTTCTTTTGTCTAAGGGGTGAGAACAAGTTTCTTTTGTCTAAGGGGTGAGAACAAGTTTCTTTTGTCTAAGGGGTGAGAACAAGTTTCTTTTGTCTAAGGGGTGAGACAAGTTTCTTTTGTCTAAGGGGTGAGACAAGTTTCTTTTGTCTAAGGGGTGAGACAAGTTTCTTTTGTCTAAGGGGTGAGAACAAGTTTCTTTTGTCTAAGGGGTGAGACAAGTTTCTTTTGTCTAAGGGGTGAGACAAGTTTCTTTTGTCCAAGGGGCGAGACAAGTTTCTTTTGTCTAAGGGGTGAGACAAGTTTCTTTTGTCCATGGGGTGAGACAAGTTTCTTTTGTCCAAGGGGTGGGAGTTTGTGTGTATGGGTCTAATGGATGCGAAATATTGGGCAAATCTCTTTTATGCAGTAATTGAGGTATACAGACAATATGGAGTCAACTTGCATTTCAGATGTCACTTTTATTCAGAAAAACCGGATCACAAAAAAAAAATTGTTTAGCAAAATAAACACGGACACCATGTCACATACTTGCTGAGACACAGGCACACTGTGTAACACACATGTATGAGTTGAAGAGTAGCGGCAGGACTGCTATTCCCCCGTCCAAAAGGGCACCAAATTGCACACACGGACAGCACTTAGCCAATGTGAGATTTGATTACCTCACTAATTGTAATAAATCAAAACGTTACAATTTTTCAAACCTTCAATATTGAGTGTGTGGTTGGCCACCTCATCCTGTATTTTTAAAGAAATAGCTACAAAAAAAAAAAAAAAAAAACCAAAAAAAAAAAAAAAAACAGGCTAAAGAAGATGGGAAGGACATAGGGGATGAGCGGCATGCAACAGGGAAGGACAGAATGACTTAGTGTAAGTTAGTTGAGAGCTATGCTCCATAGGGGGAATTAAAAGAAGAAAGATTAAAGAAACCAATAAACCAATATGGAGAGTGTTTGTTGTCCAGAAAGTAGATATGAATGTGGGCATATTGATAACAGAGAATATCACTTTCAATACATTGTACATTTGTTATTGCTGTTAAACGAGTTATTACTGTTTACGACAGTTGTATTCCTTCATGCTGTGTCTTCCAAGAGTCTAGTCTATGTTGTATGCCTTCACATTCTCATTCACAATGTGTAATCTCAGATGTACATTTCAAGTTATATTGTTAATATGAAGAAATTGTGATAACATTATGGTCAATTCATCCAAAGACACTTTATAATTTTATACTGAATTGTTTGTTTACAATCTGCCCTTCGGTTATTTCTTGGTGTATATGCATCTCTGCGAGCCGCTCCCAGCCTAGACCTAACCGGTTGGTTATCAATCAGTGATTGGTTGGTTAGTTGTGTGCCCTTTACAGGACATCGCAGAACCAACATCAGCATATTCTGGCTGTTTTAGGTTTAGTAGTCTGCCCCTGCCTCGCGACACCACCGTCAAAACCAACGCTAGGCGGTCTGCAGTGTCATCTCCTACAGCTGGGATCAAACTCGGCACCTCACAATTAGGTCATCTGGTATATACAAAACTACATATAACTCCTCCCGGCGAGGCTTTATGGATGAAGATATATGGTGCTCGACCCATATTTTTTTTTAGAAATCCATCAACATCCATCTTTACTTCGTACAGTATTTAGTGCTAAATACCGTTTTGGGACAAAACGATTTAGTTTTAAAAAAAAACGATTCTAACAAAGAAAAATGAAATGTGGATGTTAAAAACAATAAACAAATGAGTTTACAGCTCCCTTGTACTAAAACAGTTATCCCACTAACATGCACGCTTGGCTCATGCATGCGCCTCGTGTATATTTATGTTGATACTGTATATACTTCATGAGGCTAAATCATTATTTTGTTTTGAACATTGACATAATTTCAAGAAATCCACTATATGCATATCAACCTTTTGTCGTCTGCATGTGGGTTCCTGGGCCCCATTCTGGGGAAAACAAGATGAGAGCCACCTCCTGTCCACAAGCATGTCCTAAGAGTAGACTAATTGGGTCTGCATGCAAATGAGTCAGAATTATGAAACAAATGTGCACACTCAAGTTTCTGTAGCAGGACTAAAGTCCAGAAGTGGACAAACAACCACAACTTTCAGCTGGAAGAAGAACCTTTTGTCATCATTCAGCAACTTGTATCAGTTACTGAAAGGAAATGTTGCAGAACAACAAACTACAAAACAGTTTGTACGATTCAAGAATGTAAAAAATGAGAGGCAATAAATATATTCATGTATGCAGTCTTGTCCACAAAGCTCTTCTCAAGGTCAGTCAAAGAAAGGTGGAGGGAGGGGTAAATGCTGGCATAAGAAAAGAAGGGGGGAAAAAACGACAGAAAAAGTACTAGTCCAACAGTTGCAAAATGGTAGAGAAAATTCACCACACATCACACACAGAAACAACTGTCCACTCTGAATGATTCACAAGCAGGTTCGCATACACTGTGTGATAGTTTAACTCTGAGCCCCAGGGGGGTTTAGCATCACAGTCCCAAAGGGTAGTCAAAAGAGATAAAATGGGCACATCGTGCGTTCATTGGGCCTCTAGGTAGGAATCTATGAACGTATGATGCGTTCCTTGGGACTCAAAGAGTTAAGACAAAGTTCACCACCAGATGTGTCTGACGTGTCTAAAGGTTGATTTTTACTCCCTTGTTGTGACTGCCTGTATTTACTACTTTTGCGGGGTAGGCAGGAAGGGGGAGGGGTTTGAACCTGAAGATTGAGGGTAAAGGAACCAATAGTCCGCATACAAATAAGCCAGATCTGTAGAACAAATGTGCATGCTTGTTCTGGAACAAGACAAGTCCAGAGGTGAGCAAACAACCAGAGCTTTCCACTTCTGTTTAAAGTCTCAATGACAAAAACAAAACATTTAAATCACAAGGGTCACTCAGACCATCAGAAGTAAAACTGTTTTAAGCCAGTGTCAAATACATATTACTGTAAAATGCAGTCAATATGGACTGCAGGTCAGGTTACAACTGTTTAGCCTTCACAGAAAAACCACCATCAGGTCAGGTTACAACTGTTTGGCCTTCACAGAAAACCACTATCAGGTCAGGTTACAACTGTTTGGCCTTCAGAGAAAAACCACCATAAACCGTACTGAGGATTCAAACCTTGGCCTCCAGCATGAAGAGTCCAGCATTAACCATTTGACCAGCCACTCTTCATATGCTGGTCGACATTATATATTCCAGTGTACATATGTCTATACACATACATAGATTAATTCTGTAGTATGTGACTGTTATTGCAAATATTACCATGAATGTCTTTGGGTTGCATGTGATACATACATAGAACATATCACCATACTGAAATCTGTGATGAGCGATCAATCAAAGATAGTGATCATGTATAGAATTTGTGATAAATATTTTAACATTTTTTTTAATTTATGGTGTTTTCCAAATAAAATATTGATCAATTATACCTTTGTCACCTCTTTGTGTAAGAGCTTGCACATTTTCCTGTGCGTTTTATGTTTTGTAATTTTTCTATTCATATTTTCTTTACTCCTCTAAAGCCTTTTTTCAATTCTCTTTTCCCCTATTCTGTTTCTCCTTCTCCCCTTTATTATTCCCCTATTCCTCTTCCTTTGCTTTCTCTTCATCTCCTTAACCCACTTATTCCTCAATTCATTACTAATTATTTTCCTAATTATTATTTCTATTTTCTCTACTCACTTTTTTCAACTTAAGCCATTCTCTTCTGTCCTATTTTTACAATCTTCACATCGTTTTTTGTTTTTTGGGTTGATAGTATTGGGAAAAGGCTGCTGATGATACTGATACAAAAAAGAATCCTCTCAACAGACGATCAGATTATTATTCTTCTTGGCGTTCACCGGCTGTTAACTCCGGCGGAAAGTTCTGGTTGTTCGTCCACTTCTGGACTGCAGTCCTGTTCCAGAACCTGAGTGTCGCGTGTGCATCCGTTTAACAGATCTGACTAATCTATATGCAGACTCTTGGTTCCTTGCCTCTCAGGCAGATGCACTCCGACTTCGAAGGAAGCTCCCAATTAGTCGACTCTTGCGACATGATTTTGGGTAGGCAGTGGGTCTATTCTTGTTTTCCCTATAATAGGGCCCCGGAACCCACACGGGGAGATCAGATTATGAAAAGATTATGTACATTATGGTTTTAAAGCAAATGTGGTGGAGGCTCTATGTGATCAAATGGGCAGTGCAAGAGAACAAATGGAGAGTCCATACACACACAAAAAACTAATCCAATGGGGAGTTCAGAAGTTCTAGCAGATTCAACACTGAAGAGAAAACAGAGGCAGACTTATCAGGTTGCATGTCAAATTTTGTTGGTTACTGAATGTCCAGAGTACGGTCATGGAACTTCTTGATTCTATAATTCAGTCAATGAAGAATGAGGAAATAATCTGAGATGTAAAAACAGCCATTAACTGCTGAGTACTGATTAACCTATTTTAAAAACAAATTTGCTCAGTGCAGAGTGGCAAGCATCACTTCAGAGGCTCAAGGTAATTAGCACCCTATGGAAATTTTCTGCAGGTCATGCCAGTGGGTTGGGAAATGAGCAGCCAGATAGACTGGCCAGTTCTGCACCCCTTAAGTGGTGAATTTATTTTTGACAAGCTAGATGTTGTGAGGGCCCTTTGGGAGTGAGTGAACAGTGTAGAGGGACATAGATCATTATGGTCTGAGAAGAATGGCGCTGCGAGGAGTTCAGAGGATCTGGCCGATGCTCCACGCTTAAGGAAGAGTGATATACAGACAGTTACTGGTGCCATCTGAATTTGAACTTTTCACTTGCTGCTTAAGATAGGCATGGAGCCTTTATGGGAGTGTCCAAAATGCTATGATGCTGATTCCTAATTCAACATAACTAAAATCAATGTTGAAACAACATTCAACATTTAGTTGCAAGAAAATCAAGTTTTATGAAAAGATTCTTCAGAACATAAAGGACAAATATATCGCCAATGCTAAGATCCCTTACATACATGTTAAACTTGAACATAAAACAGGCTGTTCACATGATTCAGTCACATCAGCAACAAGTATTAAATTAGAAAGTTCAACATTCATGACAAATGCCAACTTTTTGCTGGCTGCATGATATTTTTTTCAAAAACAAAATTAACAAATATGAAACATCTAGATCACAGACTATGTCTGGCTACTTGTATTGCGCTGAGTTAAAAACAAAGGTGTAAAAATGTCAAAAATTAACTAAATTACTACAAATTTAACATTAGTGAGAAATAAACAAAATACTACTCTCAACTCGTGGCTGAGACAAAGTAACAATGAACTGGATAAACAGAATGTTAACAGACAAAAGAAAAATGTGAACTACCAAGAGCTGAAATGTTAAAGCAAACTGAACTACAAGAGTTTGAATGTTAAAGTGAACTACAGGAGTTGGAATGTTAACATAACAAACTGAACTACAAGAGTTTGAATGTTAAACTGCAACTGTAAGAGTTGAAATTATTTTTTTTTATTTTTAATAAACAACTGCTGTTGGAACCGTAAAAAAAAAAAACAGCCATGTTGGAATGTTGAACACACACAAAAAATAAATAAACTGAACTATTATCAGGATTCTGAATGTTAATAAATGAACGGAACTACAGTAACTGAAATGTTATAAATAAAACAAAAATTATTCATGCAGCTGGAGTGATACTTCTCGCCATTGAAATGCTAACAAAAATATTAACTACTGTAGTTAGAATGTTAACACACAAAAAGAACGAAATTTACGCTTCAGCACAGACATAAACTAGAGAAAATCATCAGAAATCAAAATAACGTGTCCTACAGTACTCTAAGAGCACAGTGTAACTGGCTTTGGGTTCTCAGAAACACAGGTTGTCTTATGTCTACAGGAAGAGATTCCCCTGGGAAGAAAACATAGGAAGCCACACAGGTACCTATAGGACAGGATTCCTGTTGGAAGACAACACAGGATACCACACAGGTTTGTTTACATGAAGAGATTCCTTTGGGAAGACAACATGGGAAGCCTCACAGATGTCTACAGGAAGAGATTCTTCTGGCAAGACAGCACAAGAAGCTGCACAGGTTTGTTTACAAACACAAGAAGCCGCACAGGTTTGTTTACAGAAAGAGATTCCTTTGGGAAGATAACATGGGAAGCCTCACAGATGTCTACAGGAAGAGATTCTTCTGGGAAGACAACACAGGAAGCAACATAGGCATCTATAGGAAGAAATTCAAGTTGGAACACAACACGGGAGCCTACAGAAAGAAATTCCTGTGGGAAGACAACATAGGAAGCCTCAGAGTGTTTATAGAAAAATTCCTCTGGCAAAACAACAAAGGAAGCCTCACAGGTGTCTATGGGAAGGGAGTGAGCTTGGAAGCGAAGACAATTTTAGCAACTTCCTAGTGGAGGTTCATGACATTGCATTTCCATCTCTTCCTGGCTGTACACTCAGGCTGCTCTTTCTTGACGTTATCCTTCCACTTGTATCTATGTCTACCTCTTGTTCATCGGCTTTTAACCTTTTTTCTGTTATAACTTTTAAAGTGACCAACATATTTCACTTTATGTGTTATATCCAACACCCCTACTCGCCCCCCCCCCCCCCCCCCCACCCCCCCCCCCCCTTTTTTTTGGCTTCACTGTCAGTTTCTCATTTCAAGAGGCTTCATAAATCTTAGTCGTCTAAGAAGGAAACAAGCTAGCTTGAAAATATTTACAAATTTTTATCAGCAAGAACTTAATGACAAGAACTGTGTCACCCAAAAAATTTACAAGATCAAAAACACAAAAAAATTTCAAAATAATTATGATTAAGTCAGTAACAAATGTTCTAGAATCTACCAGAATGTGGTAGAAAGGCAGACAAAGATGACGCAGTAACTCCCATTTGGTTCCACTGTCCAGTGAACCCTCCACCAGAGGGTCCATTCTGAAATGGTTTGCTCTGCGATGAACTGTAGCTGCTGGAGCTGTTGTACTCATCATGTGCTTTGTATCCGCTACTGCTGTAGTTATTCTGTGAGGAGTTGTAGTTCTTTGATTTGAAGTCATCATTGCTCTTGTTGTTTTGATAACTGAAGCTGTCACGATTTCTGCCACTAGAAAAGCTAGTTGGAACCCCATGGAAATTACCTCCACCTTTACCACCATGGCTTCCGCGGTCGGAACCTTTCCAACGGTTATTACCTGTGAATCAATAAATACACACTGTATACAGCATAGAATCAGGGGAAATAAAACAAAGAAAGGGTTTAAGAGAAAAAGAAACGTTCACGCATATCACTAAAAAATGTAACTACAAAAAAGGGGTACTTCAACAACAATATGGCAACAAGTGAACAATGAGGCAACTAAAAAACAATGAAAAAATGAGTTAAATAATCAAGAGTTACAAGAGCGATCTATCCAACCGTACAAGAGATCTATCCAACCGTACAAGAGCGATCTATCCAACCGTACAAGAGCGATCTATCCAACCGTACAAGAGCGATCTATCCAACCGTACAAGAGCGATCTATCCAACCGTACAAGAGCAATCTATCCAACCGTACAAGAGCAATCTATCCAACCGTACAAGAGCAATCTATCCAACTGTACAAGAGCAATCTATCCAACCGTACAAGAGCAATCTATCCAACCGTACAAGAGCAATCTATCCAACCGTACAAGAGCAATCTATCCAACCGTACAAGAATGATCTATCCAACCGTACAAGAGCAATCTATCCAACCGTACAAGAGCAATCTATCCAACCGTACAAGAGCGATCTATCCAACCGTACAAGAGCGATCTATCCAACCGCACAAGAATGATCTATCCAACCGCACAAGAGTGATCTATCCAACCGCACAAGAGTGATCTATCCAACCGCACAAGAGTGATCTATCCAACTGCACAAGAGTGATCTATCCAACCGCACCAAAGTACTCTATCCAACTGTACCAGAGTACTCTATCCAACCGCACCAGAGTGATCTATCCAACCGCACCAGAGTGATCTATCCAACCGCACCAGAGTGATCTATCCAACCGCACCAGAGTGATCTATCCAACCGCACCAGAGTGATCTATCCAACCGCACCAGAGTGATCTATCCAACCGCACCAGAGTGATCTATCCAACCGCACCAGAGTAATCTATCCAACCGCACCAGAGTAATCTATCCAACTGTACCAGAGTAATCTATCCAACTGTACAAGAGTAATCTATCCAACTGTACAAGAGTAATCTATCCAACCGTACAAGATAGATCTATCCAACTGTACAAGAGTGATCTATCCAACCGTACAAGAGTGATCTATCCAACCGTACAAGAGTGATCTATCCAACCATACAAGATAGATCTATCCAACCGTACAAGATAGATCTATCCAACCATACAAGATAGATCTATCCAACCGTACAAGATAGATCTATCCAACCAAACAAGAGAGGGAATCAGCGTTGGGAGATCCTTCCTGTGTGCATTATTAATATTTTTCCACAACAAATATTCCTGTCAAGTTTTTCAAACTGCACATTCAGCTGGAACCCATCAAGCTAGTCAAGTCAGTCCATGTATTTAAAAAGTACAAGAGAAATTGCAGCAGAAAATATAGAGTGAAAGGAACTACTATGTTCAATGGGTTTAGGCTCCAGCGGAAAGTCCTAATTGTTAATCCATTTGGATAGTGTCAGGGTCTGATTGTGTGTGTATGTCAGTTTTAATGGTTTATTAGTGTGCAGTTCGTTGGTGCTTGCCGCTCGCGCAGATGTACTCTGACTTTGTAGGAAGCTCCCAGTTAGTCAACTCCTACACCATGTCTGCTGGGGAGGTAGTGGCCATATTCTTGTTTTTCCCCACACTGGGGCCCAGGAACCCCCACAGAGAGTGAAAGGAACAACTAGTAGAGACTGACAGAACCGAAATAACTTTTTTTATTTAGAGTGTTACTATTCATTTCTTCCCACTGTATTTAAATTGTATGATGCAACAGCGTGTGATACAACAGGGTGTGATACAACAGTATGTAATACAAAAGACTGCGGTCATATGCAAAAAATTCTAGACAGGGGACTCAGCCAACGTGGAAACGCAGAATGCTCTTTTAACATGAAGCAGGGAAATTCCAGGTCTCAACAGCTAGGCTTTTCAGTGGTAACTAGGCTGTATGGATCATGGAGGACGTCTATCACACTACAGCCTTCATTCATAGAGGCCCGTGGTCGTCTCAGTTGAAAACCACAGGGCAGAGAGAATAAAAAGAATAGTTATCCTGGTGGACAAAAGTAAAAAAAAAGATGAGCTCTGAATGTAATTTTGAACAAGGAATGTTTAAAAGTCTCTAATATGGTAGAAGTTTCTAAACATAAAACTACTACTGCATTTATCCAAAGATGTAACTATGTCCAACACATCCAACTTCCAACTTTGCCTTCCTGGTAAACATAATACTATTGCTACTTAGCATTCACCAGCTGTAAAGTTCTGGTTGTTTGTCCCCTTCTGGACTTTAGTCTGGCTGAGATGTATGCAGATTTGATTCCTCGCATCTCATTCAGGTGCACTATGATGCTTGTTAGAGGAGGGCAAGGGGGTCTATTTCTTCTGACCCCCCACCCCCAGAATGGGGCCCCAGAACCCACACAGGGATGAGAAAATACAGAAAGCTTACGTCAAATGTAACTTACCTGCTCTCAGGTATTGGCTGTCTTCTTCCAATTCGAGCAGTTTTGGATTAATGATCTGCTTGGCCTCCCGCAGAACATTCACAAGATCTGAAGCCTGTTTGGCATTGCGTTTGGTGAAGAAAGTGTACGCTGTCCCTGTATTGGTGGCACGGCCCGTACGCCCAATCCTGTGCACATAATCCTCAGAGCAGTTGGGAAAGTCATAATTGATGACAAACTTGATGTCTTCAACATCTGTAAACAATATCAGGTCAAATTATAATGAAAACTGAACAGTTTTATCTTGTTTCTACTACAGGACTGAATAAATGATCCAAGAGCAGATGCTGAAAATTTTTTTAAAAGTGTCAGCAGTCAATTTTTATTCTCCGTTCACCCACTGTAAGCTCAGGCAGAAACCTGTTTGCATATTTGGACTTTTTCTTGTGCCAGGGCCTGAGTTTTGTATGTACATCCATTTTACTGGCTTATTTGTGTGCAGTTTGTTGGTTGCTCCTTGCTGCTCCGTGTGATGCACTCCAACTTCAAAGAAAGCCCTCAATTAGGCGACTGACATGCTTGGGCAGGCAGTGGGTCTGTTCTGGTTTTTCCCACAATAGGACCTCGGGACCCACATGGGAAGGCAGTCAAAACTTATAACAATAATATAGGATCAAAATAATCGCCCCCCATATAATTTAAAGAGATACATTTTATACAATTTATACAGACTTGATCACAATTTCATTATCTTGGTAAAACAAACGTGTTAAAAAACAAAAACAATATGGGTTTTAACAGAGATAGCGTTAAAATCTCTCGATTCCAGTGCCTCCGCAAGCGTTTCTACTGACTGGTGGCAGAAGTGATCAGGTGGTGTGGTCTATCTATCCCCAAGCAGCAGCACTTAAATTACAATCAGTTTTTTCCCCAGCAAAAATATGGGGTAAATTTTAAAAAGTGAATATTTGCGCACTGATATCTGTACATCATACCATTCTAGAAGAACAAAATGGTAATCTATTAACATAATATGTGCCTGAATGCTGCAGCTATTGCCTGTCGCCAAGCTACTACCTTGCACCACCCCAAATATAATTGCCACGCAGTACTTACGCCCGGTGTGCACTACCTGACCAGTCCTAGGCTCCCAAGGAAGCATAAGAACTGGCGTCGGCTTCGAGATCATTAAACACGCACTCCGTCAGTGCCCACAGCGATTGTGTGAGGTTCAACAAAGCAGCTCGTGGCCGTCAATCACTCCTCTTTAAATCACTAGGATTGGAAGAAAAGATAAAAGAAAGTTGATTGCATAGTCTGCTATTTCACGTAAAAAAAAAAAACGAAAAGAAAAAATAGTTAACATAAAAAGTGTAAATGGAAAGATGACAGACGGAAAAGACGGTCAAATACAACCGAACACTATTTGTATTTGTGTGTACCTTTCTTTTCCCCTCCATCAATCCTTTTTGTCATAGTTTGCAACAGACAAAACCCCAAAAATGGGAGGGGGGGGGGGGGGGGGGGGGGTGTAATGACATAATTAAACATGCCTATTTCACAAAAGCTCCTAAAATACTGAGTGAAAAACAGGCATGATGCAGCAGGGGGGTGATAAAGTTCTGCAGAACCTATCCACGACCCACAACTGACGCCTAAATGTGTACCAGGAAACATGTTAGGAAGTAAAGGCAGCTGGAATTATATTAATCAAATCATTTATCAAGAGTCTAGAAGAGGGAAAAAAAGGTCTAGCACATATGACTAAATTGCCATCATCATAATCATTCATTTCCACTTCTGCATGAGGTGGAACAGTTTGCGATCCATTGATTGATGGGCATCAATGGTTACTGTCATTCCTTGTCCATGTGGAAGTTCTTTGATGAATGTCATCAATCCATCCTCTCCTCCAAAGGGGTCGTGGATCACGGGTTAAGAACTGCTATCATTAGTGCAATCTCTTGCTTCCACATCAAATCTTTTCATGTGTAATGCCTGCGTTGGTAGTTTTGGCTGCATTCTTTCTAGATGACCAAACCATTTGATCTTGTGTTTGCCAATGAATTTGCTTGCAGGGTGTTGTTCCCACTGTATGTCTGATAATATTGCTAATGTCATCTTATACAGTTAAGTTGGCAGCTTTCCTCGGGTGTCTTGATTTCACAGGTCTTAATTTTAGGTAGGTTGGCCTTTGATAATCTACAAGTCTGGCACTGGTAGCAGGGTGTTGGTATGAATCTGTTGTTTATATTCTGTTCATACTTGTATTTATTTGGATGTCTTAGTGATGCCAGTGGTCGGAAGGTACCAGATATATGAAATGTCCTTTAACAAACTTGTTTTCTTCCAAACATTAAAACGTCAATATGTATTCCACAACGGCATGCCTAAATAGCAACTGAATATCTGGCTATGTAAACTATTTATCTGTACTGTCAAAAAGTAAACAGTGTCAAAAAGGTAAATAGCTTTAAAAAAATTCAAAGTGTCAACATGTAAAAGTCAGCTTTCTCATGTGTCTTACAGTCAATGCTGCAGGGCATTGGTAGTCAAGTCTATCCACAGCCTTCTGTCTTATGTATTTGCAATCACTTCTGACACAGAAGATCTTTTGTGACCAGTGAAAATGTCCATCTCTCCCAAGTCTGCCTCTGCCCTCTTTCTCCTCCAACTTTCCCACTGTTACCATCTATTCCAGGTGTCTCCTCCTCATGACATGACCAAAGAATGTAGATTGTCTTCTACTGTGGGTAACCTGCACTGCGGGTAACCTGCACTGTGCGGGTAACCGGCACTGTGGGTAACCGGCACTGTGGGTAACCGGCACTGCGGGTAACCTGTACTGCGGGTAACCTGTTCCCTTTGTGAGTCAGTTTCTTTCCACAAATATTTTGACCAGGATGCTACCCTTCACACATAAAACCTCATATCTGCAGCTTCCCCATGATTAGTCCCTAATCAGCTAACTGTCCATGATTCACTTCCATATATCAGGAATTCAACTAGATAGCTCTTTAAAAATTCTTAGTGTTCACTAGCTGTAAACTCTGGAAAGTTCTGGTTGTTCGTCCAGTTCTGGTTCCAGAAAATGAGTTTCACGTACTTATCAGTTTTAGAGATCTGGTTTATTTGAAAGCAGGCTGTTGATGTTTTTTTTGTGTGTGTGTGCCTTCGGGTGATGCAATCTAATTCAGAGAAAACCCTAATCAGCTGCCTCCTATGACATGCTTGCTAGGAAGGCAGCTGGTCTATTTTTCCTTTAAATGGAACTTTCCAGAAGCCCCATGTGAACAGAACTTATCAAATTTTTAAATAAGTCCCTTTTCCATGTCTTCAGTCTTTACATAGCATATAGGGCTAGACCTTTATTTTCATTGACCATCGGCACAAGATGGGTGATATGGTCAGCATTACGCCAGCCGCCTTTACTTCCCGGGACTGGACCTGGTACCCACTTAAGGCTAGGTCACCCTGGAAGTCAAGGTCAATTTTTTTTTTTTCTAAAGTACAACTCTATCAAATTATTAATTTTTTTAAAAATCACAACACACCAAAATGGGGCCAGCAACATACGACTGATGGCAAGAAAAGGGCCCTTTACTTTTACAAAATATATTCAGATAAAAGCAATAAAACCAAAGGCAGAGCCACTATCGTGTAGCAGCTAGATGCTCACCTGGGGGATCAGAAGCTCGTGGGTTCAAATCCAGGTGGTGATGGACTTTTTTCTGTTTCAAAACTTACCTGGGCTCCTAGGCTGTCCCAGCCTTAAATGGGTACCAGTTACAAGTCTTGGTAATCAAAGGCAGTCGGCGTAATGCTGACCCTATCCCCCCCACCTAGTGCCGATTGATCTTTAAAATATAGATCAAGCCCTATATGCCTAACCGTGTGAGAAAAGGGTCCTTAAAAAAAGAAGCAAAACCCTGAAGCACACATGTGAACACACATATGTGCATAGACAATTAGTTCACAACCAAGCATGTCCTACAAGTGATCATGATAACTTGGCCATAATACTATAGCAGAATATTTAGATCACCTACCCAAACCTCGTGAAGCAATGTCTGTAGCAATCAGTATTGGAGTTCTGCCACTGCGAAAATCTGCCATTTTTAAAAACATAAGAATTTAAGCTATTGCAACATTAACAAAGACAATCACAAAACATATTCAATATTATTCCCTATTTTCTTCTCACAATCCATGCCGTGTGGGGACCAACAGTCATGTGTATCCACAGCCCTCTGTCTCATTTACTGTCAGTAAGTTCTGACAAAGACGATTTTACTTACCATGACATCATTACTGTCCAGCATTCTGTCTTCTTCTACCTCTTTTTGCCCTCCAACTATCCTAACATCGCCATGTACTCCAATTTTCTCCACCCAATGTCATGACAAAGTATGTAGAGTGTCTCCTTCTTTGCATTCACCAGCTGTAAACTCTGGCAGAAAGTTCATCCACTTCTGGACTGCAGTCCTGTTCCAGAACCTGAGTGTTGCATGTGCATCCATTTTAAGATTGGACTAATTTGTATGCAGACCGCTGGTTGCTTGCCTCTCAGGCAGATGCACTCCAACTTTGAAGGAAGCTCCCAATGAGTCGACTCTTACGACATGCTTTTGAGTAGGCAGTGGGTCTATTCTTGTTTTCCCTATAACGGGGACCTGGAACCCACACGGGGAACTGTCTCCAGATGTGGTCAGTTCTCTACATAAATCTAAAACTACATCACAGATTACACATAATTTCCCCCCCCCACTAATTGGCCAGCTTATTAATCTCATGTCACAGAGAGTATAATCTAGGCCCAATGTAGTGACTAAAACAAAGGGGGCAGAAGTAAAATCAAAGATAATGATCCTACCATTTATTTCCTGGGATGGCGGAGGGGGGAGTTCCTAGGTCAGTGCTATTCAAATGGTAGCCCACGGGACAGAATTTGGCCCACAAAGGCCTAGCTAGCATATGACCTGCCTATCACGTATGTGATTTTTTATGCTGGTGCTCAGGTCTCAGGCCCACAACAATCCCCATTTTCCAACATTTTGGCCTCTTGGGTAGACTCAGTTGAACGGTCATGGCCTAGGCTGTTATATTCTGCACTTTTCTTGTCTATATTTTAGATAAGGACATTTTATCGTTGTGTTTTAGACCTTCACCTTTTATGCTGGTGTTTTAGACATTCTGCATCCTCCATGCTTGTGTTTTAGACATTCTGCATCCTCCATGCTTGTGTTTTAGACATTCTGCATCCTCTATGCTTGTGTTTTAGACATTCTGCATCTTCTATGCTTGTGTTTTAGACATTCTGCATCCTCCATGCTTGTGTTTTAGACATTCTGCATCCTCCATGCTTGTGTTTTAGACATTCTGCATCCTCCATGCTTGTGTTTTAGGCATTCTGCATCCTCCATGCTTGTGTTTTAGACATTCTGCATCCTCCATGCTTGTGTTTTAGACATTCTGCATCCTCCATGCTTGTGTTTTAGACATTCTGCATCCTCCATGCTTGTGTTTTAGGCATTCACCTTTTATGCTTGTATTTTAGACATTCTGCACCTTTTATGCTTGTGTTTTAGACATTCTGCATCATCCATGCTTGTGTTTTAGGCATTCTCCACCTTTTATGCTTGTATTTTAGACATTCTGCACATTTTATGCTGGTGTTTTAGACACATTCCACACCTACTATCCTTGTATTTAAGACAATCTTTTTTTCAATTTCAGGTCTCCCAGATGCAAGCTTTGCATTCTAACTCCACCATAAATATGTGAGGTAAATTAAGTATAGATAGGAGATTCAAGCCTACGAAAGTTCTCAGAAACTTACTATTAAGTGCCCAGTCTCGATCTTCTTGTGACTTGTCTCCATGGATACAAAGGGCAGGCCATCTAGTTCAGAAACAAAAACTATTAATTACTCGTCCCATTTGGTGAGAAGGATATTAAGAATGGTTAACATTTATGGCAAATGTTAACACAAACTGCCACACTGTTAAAATCAATAATCCATTCACTGTGGTGATTTACCAGTCTTGAACACAACCCCAGGCCCAAAAATGCTCCTGACTGTAGCTGAAGCTATGAAACTGTTTCAAGTCAGATGGATTCTGATAATGAAACACTGACTTCAGAGTGATTCGGACAGTAAATACACACCAGCAACAGCTGAGCGGTCAGCTGTTCGTTCTGACGAGGTAAATCCGGGTGGAACCATTTCATTTACGAAGTATTGGATATCACCCATGATAGGTCCAATTTTCTGGCACTGTTTTCTGTGAAATTATGTTTAGCATCTATGAGAACTTGGATTGTCTGACTGATAAACTAATCTAGAAACGTGTCAATACTGATGAATTTGTTAGGAAACTGAACAACTTTAAATTGTTATTCTCACATTCAGATACTCTCTGCTCTTGTGGCTGCAGAGACATGGCAAGTGAAGATTTTTCTGATAAAATTTTGTCGTTATAAACATAACACCTATTGAATTATTTCCTACTAACTATAAAAGATTGAAACAAAAACATATCCATCAGATTCAAAATGTGCCTTGCCTTTATTTTCAAGAGCCCCCCCCCCCCCCCCCCCCCCAATTGCCATTTTTTTGGGTAAAGGTAAATTAATGTGAGCCAAGCCTGTCAAAATTCATGGGCCTGAAAGAGTTAAAATATGTATACTCCAAATAAATTAAAATGGCTTCATTTCATGACAAATTTAACATTAACAGCCACATGATAAAATTGGAATTTTATCGTATATACTGTGGAGCTATACCACTGAAATTGACAAACTTTGCATTGCAGGGTTTAACGTTAAAATATGTATTAATTGCCAATGATATATATTTTTTTTTATTAATTGCTAAAATTAATGATGAACACAATTCATGATTAACACATTAACTACAACATGTTGAATTCTATATCCACCTGCTGTGATATTCAAACACTAAAATTTACACCTTTTTTTTTTTTTTTTCCAAGTCTTTGACAGTCATACTGGTCAGAAAGAAAAAAAACCTGTTGTAAACAAAATCTGGAAAATGATCAATAGTTTTTCACTGGCATATATTATTTAAATAGTTCACAGAAATGAAAAGTGTTAAGTTACTGTTTTTAGGTAGTTCATTAACACAGCAGATCCATCGCAGAATGTCACTTTTATTACTGTCTGCCTGAAAGAAACTTGTCTCTGACCAGTCTCCCACCTCATGCACTTTCCTACCCACAGGGTTCGTAGCCATATTCAACATGTTTATAACAGTTTTTGACAAGTTATTTTGGCCTTGTTCTAGAGTGTACCAGGCATATGCAGTACTTTCTTCATGCAAACACGTGCATTTAAGCACAAATAAAGACTTGCTGCAGTGAGGAGCAAATTGAAGGATCATTATTAACATTAGCAAAACTGAATGCTCTACAGTTTCCAAGAAAACTTTTTTGTTTCTTTTTTGTTAAGGTTACTGCTATTGGATTTCAAGGACTTTTGCCTCCTTTGAACTTTTCCCCATTTCTTTAAAAGGCCTTGAAAGGGCAAGCTGTCCAAGCATTTTCCAAGGCTTCAAGGGCTCCTACGAGCTCTGCACCCAAGGTGTCTCATACATCAGGATTATGTGTTCAAGATGGTCAGCATCTGCCCCTTTCCTAAAACTATTTATACCATCAAATACTGTTCTTTCCAAATTGTTGGTGGAACATCATGTGACCAAAATTGTACAGTTCCAAGAAAAAATGTTTATGAGCCAATCTTTCCCTGATGTTAAGATGTTATAGGATGTCAACATTTGTGTTCCGGTTGGTCTACTGTATTCTGAATATCTTTCTATAGCATTTCAGCTCTAAATTCTGAACTGTCTTTCCTGAGTGGGAGACAGTCCACAATTCACATCCGTATGTTGCTACAGGAAAGATACATGCTCTCAAAATATGTTGATTTTCTTGCTGGTGCTTTACCATAGACTTTTAATGCTATTTAATTTTAAGTAGTTTCAAGAGTTCAAAGATCTGCTGCCAGGTCTAGAAATATTTATGCTCACACTGTTCATTAGTATACATACAGTACATCAGTTACTTACCCATCACTCTTCATTCTCTTGGCTATTTCGTCTGCCTTTCGTTTTGTTTCCACAAATATAATTGTCTTGTTCTCCTTCTCTTGCATGATCTCATTCAACAATTTAGCAAGTCTGAAGTGGAAAAGAAAACACGTGTTTGCTTCTTTCACATTTAAAAAAGGGCAATCCTTTAGTAGTTACTGGCTTTGATGTTAAGTTGATTATGTCTTTCTTTCTCTCTCTCTCTCTCTCTCTCTTGCAAAATCAAATTTTGTACATGTCGTTGTAGTGCTTTTTCTGGGATATAGTGTTAATTGAGTTCTCATAGTACATATTTGTTATTTTATATTTAAATGACCAATATGTAATTTGTATTGTTTCCAATTTTGTTCTGATTTGAGTTGTGAATGACAGCATCTGTACTATGAATAATTATACAATCTTACTAACACTGTGTCATTAACATGGTAGATATATGTTTCCTTAGCATGCAATCATTGATTATTTTCCTCGATTTTATTTTGAGGGGAAAACTTCTTCAAAGATGGCACAGTCATTCTTTATTCTGTATATGTATTTCAGTCCTAGTAAATGTACACTTTATACAGAGCAATGTACACATCTATATTCCTAACAACTGAACTGAAGTAATCAGCTCCCTTTTTTAACTTACCTTTCAAGAAGCATTTCCAGCTGGGAACTATTTATTCTACAAAGACTAGACGTGTTTTACACAAATTTAACACTGGAGACGAGGATACTGCCCCATAAATAGCCAAAAAGAGACCCAGTGAGGTCTAGGTTTTCATAAGAGTTGAGAACTGACATCACAGCACTAAGGATATTCCTGAAAGTGCTCTCTCATTTTCAGTAATCAGTATTCATTGCAGTTACATTTCTTATGGTGCCAGCAGCTGTCTGACCAGTGCATGTCCTGCCTTTTTTCTGATTGTTGAGTGTCGTCCAAATCCTTGGCCACTCACGCTGCCTCATTCTCTCCAGACCGTGACTGATCTATTTGTGTCTCTGGACTGTTCACTTGCTCCTGTGGGGCTCTGACCACAGCTTACTTGACATGCATTAATTTACTACTAACTAGTAGGAAAGCAGCTAATTTGTCTGCCTGTTTAGTTTTCCAACACATCTGTATGCCCTGGAGAAAACATTTCTCAACATACTATGTGCGTTACTGTCATGTGTGCAGCTGGTTCTAATGCCAATGGAAACCTGTCCTGCAGTGACACATTTTTGCATTCCCAAACAAGATGTTTACCAGCACCAAAATAAAAGGATAAATCATGTCAATTACAGTCTTAGGAAGCTTTTAACATCAAACAGCAATTTTTTTTTTTTTAAATCCCTAATACCATTATCCTCAAAAGAACTAGCCTACCCAGCATCTACAAAATTAGTTAATCTCAATTACAACAGGCATACAGTCTGTGTAAAAATCTTCTCTGGTGAACTACATAAAGGAAAAACACTCTCACAGTGAACACATGGAATCTTTCAGAGGCAATCTAAAGATATCACTGAAGACTTCTGGCCTTAATCCCCAACATGAGAGGTACCTACACATGTTCCTATTCATACTCATCCTTTTGTCAGGGAGCGGCACATGATGCAACCAGCAGCAGCAGTTTAAACAAGTGCAAATCAGAAAAGACCAGGTCCCCCCCAAAGTAATGGGGCTTAAATCCCATGCACACACTGGACAAGAACTTTGAATGCTATCATTTGCCTAAAAGCCTGTACACATATAAACCTCCTGCCTACCCAGCGAGATAAAAGGAATAGTATATCACTTCAATAGGGAGGGGGGGGGGGGGGGGGGGGGAGAGAAGAACTATTCAGCACATCTGACTGGCATTGTCAAGTGCATCTCATCAGTGCCCGATCTCCTGCGTCTCCACGTGTTTTTAGGCTAACAACTATAATTCTGTTCTGGATGATGTAATGACTGGTGGCTCCCGCATGGTTTTCTTGTCTTGCTGCTAAAATTGGTACACCCAGTGTATGCAATCTAGTCGTTAGAATTCATTTTCCTTGAAACAAAGTCGGTTTCTCAGTTTAGACTCTCGTATGGCATTGATATCTCTCCTGTCCATACATGGCCCATTCCTGATAGCCACACTGCCAGCCAGTGCGACTGCTCTCTCGCTGCTTTTGACACCTGCATTCTCATTATTTCATGACCTAGTCATATTCTAGTCAGATAATGAGGGGGGTGCTTCTTTATTCCTAGTCTTTCTTCCTAGGAGAAATAACTTTGCGCTAGCAAAACAAAACCTTTAAAAAAAAGTAAAAAAAAAAAATTTGCTGAGAGCATAAGCAACTATTCCGACAAAACTTACTTCTCATCCTTTTCATAGTGCATGCAGACGTCAACAATCTGCAGGATGTTGTGATTGGCTGTCAGCTGCAGAGCCCCAGTGTTCACCTGGATGTAGTCGTTCAAAAATTCCTCTGCCAGCTGGCGAACTTCCTTTGGCCAAGTAGCACTCCACATCTGTGTCTGCCGATCTGGCTACAAACAAAAATTAACATATTTTAACAACAATGGCCTTATCTCTGCACATTTTGTTGTTTTTGGCACCCTGCCAGCATTCTAGCTAACTGTGTCACATAGTGCTTGGGAATCGCAGCTTAAGGTGACAGACAGTGTGACTAGCAAGACCCGAGTTAAGTTACATCTTCCATAACCAGAGCATGTGATTTGAGAAAACTGTTGCCAACGCCTTTCTAAGATGTTCAGATATTAACCTGCCAGCAAGAGGTGCTAGAGGTTCCGGGTTCAATCCCCCCTCCCTAAAGGCTCGGATTTTTTTAAGTGGACTTGGACTTCCAAGTAATTACCCCTGGTCTCTGGGTAGCGAAATCGGACCCCGGTGTGCACATAAAAAATCCCTTGGCGGTTCGAATTCGAAAAGAGTAGCCTAACGGCATTGCCCCGACAAAATTTAGAGCTAAAAATCTTCCCAAAGTATTTCAGGATCCTCGCCAGCACTACAGAGCCTGTGCACTGTGCTGAGCTTCTTCAGACTCGGGTTAGAAGAAGAACGGAGCTTTCACTACACCCTTTTTTTTTTTTTTTTTTTTTTTTTTATTCCCTTGCTAAGGTATACATTAAAGTTGCTAAGGTATACATTAAAGTTGCTAACAGTTTTCTTTAGCACTTGCTTGAATGGCGAATGGGTACAGTTGATCCTGCCGATGTTCAAAATTTATGGTAAAGGACAGACAGATGCTTTTTTTTTATTTACCATCAGAACTGGAACCCTACACTTGCTGCTGAAGATGGGAATGGATGTTTGTGGGATAGCCCTGAGTGCTAATTCATCTTTTTTTTTAACCATATGCCTTTTCCTGCACTCTTTTAGTGCTTCTAGCATTGCCTTCCGACTAACCTTACTTTTCAATAAATTTTGCAGGCATATACCAAATTGTCCTTTAGCCATGCTGGGAACTCCATCCCATCCGGATCACAAACAAGATCTGAAGTTCCTGCTGGCTCTGCTGAGCCAGATGCCCAACTTGTGCCGACAGTTGTTACGGCAATTCTGCAGCACCTCCTCAGAAGCCACTGTCATTCAATTTCTTGCACCATTTGCATAATTAGTATTTTAAGTAAATTTACTAAATTGTTAAAAATTATAGGTGCTTTCTTAATATCCTACCCCAAACTGGGAAAATCCACAGGACAGTCTAATATTTCAGGGGGTGGTGGATAGGCAGCATGCAGTCGATTGACCTAAGCTGCCCACTCTCGTGAGACGTAGGTGGGTTGGGGCCAGTTCTAGATGTTTTGGGGGTCGTTAACAGCATCAGAAAGCCGGGACACCCAGTCTTACCACCCTCTAAAATGTTGGACTGTCCTGTAACGTCACCCTGGGGGTCGGATATTACAAAAGAACCAAATTGTATACTAGACTAGTCAGTGTGGGTGTCATTAAAAAAATCATACTTCAGCAGTCTGAGGCTTTCAGGTACATGCTGCAGATATCACCCACATCCATTCATCTCTTTTATGTCTTCTCTTTCCAGCTGGTGACCCCAAGTGTCTTATGTCTGCCTGTATTTTCTCTCTCCAGACTTCTTAAGCCACTCATTAACTTTTCTGTGCACAGTTCCTGTTTTATATCTACCATTTTCTCTGAAGGCCAACTAATTTTTGAACGGTTTATGAATTTTGTTGCTGTTTCTCACTCTCCGTTCTTCTGTGTTTTATCTCTGATGGATTCAGAGATCTGTCATAGGACTGGTCTCAAATTTGTAATAAAGCTTCACCTCTCCGTCACAAACATCATCCTACTGTGCCTTTATATTCAGTCAATTCTTTCTATTCTATTGTGTGCAATCATCTCAAAAAAAGGACAACTTAAGCCTCTTTCAGCAATGATCTCATGGTTTCTCTTAGATCTATCCCCCCCCCCCTTTCTGTGTTTGGTAATTCTCTGCTCACTAAGTACGCATCAATTTTCCAACAATTAAGATTATCATTATACAAAACATATTGTCCTTTTGAATGAAGGTAACAGATACACACCCTGACTTGCTCCAAAATCTTCCTAATCTGAGGTTCGAACCCCATGTCCAACATCCTGTCAGCCTCATCCAAGATGAGATACGTGGTACGCCTGAGATTCATTTTATTGGCAGCTAGAAAATCAATCAAGCGGCCTGGAGTTGCAATACAAATTTCAGCACCTGTGAGGATAGAGGAAATAGCATGTGGCATTACTCTGGTGTTCCAATGTACACACAGATATTAGTTTTAGCTGTCATCTCATTTACACTGATCATCTTGCCAGCACTGGATTTAGGTATAAGTTAAATAAGTCAGAGTTGATTGAAAGTACATGAGACAGGTTGTGGATAGACATGTCTACCAATGCTCGACACAGACTAAGAAAAAATCATCTACAGCTTAGGGCTGCACCAAATTTCTTTTGTTTTTCAGAGATGCAATTTTTTGTAAGTATAGTTTCTTTTTCACTTTTACCGGCTGTTAACTCCGGCAGAAAAATCCTGGTTTGTCCACTTCTGGACTGCAGTCCTGTTTCAGAACCTGAGTGTTGCATGTGCATCCATTTGACAGATCTGACTCATTTGCATGAAGACTGTTGGTTCCTTGCCTCTCAGGCAGATGAATTCCCGACTTAAAATGACAGTATATTCCATTAACCCATTTATTTCAAAGTCACATACATAACGCTTTTTCAACTTTTGAGTCCCAGTGGGTTTAGTAACACTGGTCCAATGGGTAGTAAAAAGAGACAAAAAAAATGGTGCATCACACCTTAATTGGGCTTCTTTCTAGGAAGGAACCTATGAACAAATGATGTGTTCCTTGGCCGCCATTTTGTAAAACCCAGTATCACTGGGTTACTAAACAAATCACTGTAGACTGTGACCACTTTCCCCAGTTAAGATGCAAAGTTTACGGCCAGCCCAGGCACCAAAATTCGTCATCAAGGGCTTTCTTGGTTTAGATCCTTTTTTCATTTCCTCTTTCAAACCTTGAAATGTTTTGGAGAGGCCAGCAGACAGTACTCCAAGTCTGTACCATTGCATTATCTATGTTTTGGAGAGGCCAGCAGACAGTACTCCAAGTCTGTACCATTGCATTATCTATGTTTTGGAGAGGCCAGCAGACAGTACTCCAAGTCTGTACCATTGCATTATCTATGTTTTGGAGAGGCCAGCAGACAGTACTCCAAGTCTGTACCATTGCATTATCTATGTTTTGGAGAGGCCAGCAGACAGTACTCCAAGTCTGTACCATTGCATTATCTATGTTTTGGAGAGGCCAGCAGACAGTACTCCAAGTCTGTACCATTGCATTATCCATGTTTTTACTGCTGTTAATTTCAATATTTATCTTTGCCTTTTTGCGTTCACCTGTAGTAAACTCCTGTGGAAAGTTTATTCATCCACTTCTGGATTTTAATCTTGTATAGAACTTGAGTTTGACATGCATTAATACAATCTGTTGATGGTTCCTTACGTCTAAGGTTGAAGCACTCCAACTTTGAAAGAAAGAGGGAAAATTAGCTTGTGCCCCCCCCCCCTCCCCAAAACTCATTCAGTACCAGAAGGTTTTACCCAAGACGGCCATTAAGAATAAAAACCAACAGGAAAAACCACGAGCGGTTCGCTTTCAAAGATGCTAAATACTGGGGAAGCCAGATTTCTTAGTATGCTGTGACCAACCATGACAAGAATTCGAACATATAACATGGAGGCATCATACGCTGTTTGGGGCTGAAAGAGTTCATTGGGCCCTGCATTTGGAAAATTTATTACGCAAAACAAAACAAAAACTATCCAGCCATCACCTAATATATGAGTACAAATAACCCTAACTGTAATATATAAAGATCCCTTTACACGCCTTAGGCACATCAGGCATATGGGAAAAGCGTCCCATATTCTTACAGACCAGTCGGCATTGGGTGGGTAATGTGGTGAGCATTATGCCGGCCATCTTTACTTCCCCAGGACAGCCCTCCTGGTACCCATTTTAGGCTGGGTCGACCTGTGATGCCCCATACAATGATAAAAATCCATGCCAACTGTAATATATAAATGACATGAATTGCAAGGCACTTACCATCTAGCTGTCATGTGCAATCACTAACCATCATCTAGTACATTTTAGTGGTGATATCACCATCACTGTCATGCTGTGTCAATATAGGTCACAGACGGCTGGTATTCCATCCTTGCAATGCCTTCACTATCGTGGGCAGATTTCTGTCAAGCACCTTTGGCCTCTCACAAAAATTTATTTTTGGGTTTCTTTTGGATGTCCTTGCTTTCTCAACCCTTTTATTTCCCAGTTTGTTGCCCAGACATTTACTTCTTCGCCCTCATAAACTCATCCCATTTTATGTTCAGCATGTTCCATATATATGGAAACATATGAAGGACAATTTACCCAATACACACACAATATTACAACAGCATGCTCAGTAGAACAGTCGAAAAAGCCAACGGCACCTTCTCCATGACGGTGCAAAGGCAATGGCTTAAATTGAATCATTACAGAAGTTCGATGTGCATGGAGTCACCTTGTTTTTCGTCCCTAAATACACAGGCGTTGATTAAAATGAAAAAGTTGATAGGTTGGCTAGATCTGCTATCCCTACCGATGGTCAACCTATGAATAATGCCCTCTGAGAAATGAGAAGGGTGGAGGCAGTGAATCCACATCAATCACTTGGATATGATAGACTTGTGAGTTGAGAATGGCATAGTAACAAACAGTACACACACAAAGCCCATCAGAGGACTTGTTAATCAAAATAAGACTGGTACTATTAGCCACCGGATGCTGAGGTTCATACTAACATGCAATATTAAATTGTTGCCCTTTTACGCGTGAATGACAAGATGTTATCCAGCTCACTGCTTTCCTTATAAGGGCAGGGAAGTTCAAACCCACCTGCACCATATAAGGTCAATTCATCTCAGCAATATGAACATTGCTAGTAAATGAAACGAGGCCACTGTGCAGGTTAGAATTCACACTAACTACATTACCATAGCTCAACAGAAATGCTAATTCAGATTTTATAATAAACAAAAGCCAAGTATTTATTGGGACTCACTAAATAAATAGAAGAAACACCGGACTTGCTAGATATGACAGCTATAGTTACCATGCCGCAATCTAACCTCACCTTCAAAAGACAGTGCCTAACTGCACCTATATTACCCCTATATTGCTAGAATATATATTACCTCTTTCAAGATCCCGCAGTTGTGGACCCTTAGGAGAACCACCATAGACACAAGCTGTTCGGATCCTAGACACTTCACCAAAGGCATTAGCCAGCTCTAGCACCTGCTGGGCCAGCTCCCTTGTGGGTACAAGGACAAGCACCTGCATAAGATGATAATTATTTACTCAGAGTACCAAACAGAGCATGATGTTGGAAACCGTCTGCTGAATACTCTCCTTAGTTTAATATACTCATATTTTTTGGGCAGCTTTCCGGTGGCTAGAGAACAAGATGCACACACATCATAATTTAACAGACTCTGGGGCTAAAAAAATGGGAAGACAGATGCTTCAAGCATAGTGGCAAGCTTCACTGGGAAGGTCACGGGTAGTGGGCATAATTTGTTTCTTTTCTTCAGGCAATGCCGGTGTGGTGGGGAATCAAAAGGAAGACAGACTGGCTGGATGTGCACCACTCTGTGGTGAACTGATGATACGTGACAAGGCAGATGTGGTCAGAAAACTTTGGGGAAAAGCAATGGAGTCAGAAGCGAAATAAGATTGTGGCCTAGAGAGAATTGAGGCCCCTGGGTGTAACCAGAGGGGTTTACTACACTCAGAGGAAAGGCAAGACGGACATATAACCAGATTACGATCGATACCATCAGTATTGGAACTCTGCGCTGGCTGCTGAAGATGAAAACGGAACACACATAGGAATTCCCTAAGTGCTGTTATGTCAGTTCTTGACTCAACTTTTTAAATCTGGCTTCTCCAATAATCCTTATTGCTGTTATATTACTGCGCTGAAAGTAGTGCACTAATGAATTGTAATCACTAACATTTCTTCACTGGCATCTCATACAAAACCCCTTAATACTGAAAGAGTATGGCACTGCAATAGAATTGTGATGAAATGGTGGAACCTACTTCCTTCTGCATTCACGCCTAAAGCAGAGGGGGGGGGGGGGGGGGGGAGGGGGATAGGTCTCTTCTTTTTCCTAAAAAAAGGGCCCCAGAACCCACATGGGGAAACATACCCTTAAACTAAACTAGGCCAGTCTGTATATACAGTGTTGTATTATAGCTGCTTACATAATATACTTCTTGCCATTGCTTTGAGGTATTTCATCATCACAATTCTATTGCAATGCCTTGGGTGAATAATTATTTGAAATTTTAATATATTCTTGTCCACTTTGCTCTTTCGGTACCAGAAAAGTTTCGTAGGAGTCACCAGTGAAGAAATGTCAGTGATTCAGCCTAACACATCTGATTTCAGCATACCCTTAACTGGTAAGCTTTCATGACATTTGTAAAGGGGGAGATGGTTCTATTCTTTCTCCTAAAAAATTTTGGACCCAAAACCTACATATGAAACCATTTCCTGACACCAATTTACCAATTTGAACATACAGTGTGGTATCATAGCTGGTTACATAATATATTTCGCCAGCTGCTATAGTTTGTGAGCTGGGAGAGGAAAGATAGCTCTAGCTCTACAGCAGTTATTTATTGACGTCTGAAGCAGATTTGGGCGAACTATGGCCCATGAACCAAAACTGGCCCACCAAGCAATTTTTATTGGCTTGCAAGGCTGGTGTAAAATCTAAAATTACTATATAATCAGGGGCTGCGTTAGTGCAGTTGATAGGATACTCGCTTTAAAATCCAGCTGCGACACGCTGCAGCACACAGCTGGTGTTCGAAACTTGGCAATTTTCAGGGTTCACCCAGTGTCTAGGTAATGGGTACAAGAGTTAACACTCTGGGGTAAATGGGGGACCGTCCCCGTAGCTACGGAGTTGGGTGCGGACAGCGACACAGGTGAACAAGTTTCTTATTAGCTGTCCGTACTGGTGGCAGAGCACTTATGGTTTATAACCGTGTGTAATGACACTGGTTCACATCTCCCGACTTTACTATATAATCAGGTCCTTGAGTTCACAAAGCAGCAGAACATAAAAACATATGTTTGTTTGCAGAAAGAAATATAAAAAATCAACATCTTAAAAAAATGTATAAAAAGAAACTGATGTGACAAAAACTTCAAGCCTGTTAGTGAAACGTGTTGCTGACAACTTCAGACATTACAAAATACCACTGAAGGGCTTTGGTAAACAACAAAAATATATATATAAGGGGATGAACTTTCTCTCTGGTCAGCAAATTTATAGATCACAAGATCTTGGCATTTGTTTGAGTATGGGATTGTGAAGATTTGTCTATATGGCCTGCACCCAGGCTGGCAATTCTGAATTTGGCTCAGTGAATTCCCATTTTAAATGATCACATTTTACTGGCTAGGTCCATGTAGATCACCACTTAATGTAGTAGTGGCAGCAGCCAATCTATCAGCTTGATCACTGCACCGCACACCTGAATTTCTGCACATAATTTTCCTGGTATTCTCCTGATCTGAGTTATCAAGTGTAGAATGGCAGTTTATTTTCCGCAGCATGATCAGAGCCCATTACAATGACCAGACATTGGACTGTGAATCTCTCAAGCTACCATTACCACCTCCATCTCTATTCTCATACTGGATAGTGTGACGTTATATACAGTGTATAAGGCAAACCTACCTTGATTTTTGGACCAGACATTTGGAACAAATAATAATATACCTCCACTGTATGGGACGCACACTGTTTTTACACCTATACTTCTAGAGAAAAAAAGTGCATCGCACTTAGAGAAATACATTAGGTAAGCATAAGTCAAGCATGTTGCATCGAGGGATTAGATAAATCATGGATGTACTTACGATGGGTCCATCACCACGTTGCAGATAAGGCTGGTGGTTCACATGAATAATAGCAGGCAGCATAAACTGTTAACAGAAAACAGTATAAAAAATATTTACTAAATAGTAATTTAAACAATACCCTGTTCAACCCATCCAGGTTGTAACTGGGATACAGATAGCTTTTTTCTTTATTTGTTCTATTTCAGTGATTGATATTTATAAAACTGCCAGTATTTACAACTTTTGCTGTGCAGACAGGGGTGGGGTCTTTGAGCCTGACAATTTAAGGTCACATGGCTCATGCTGTCACCACGGACTGTGCGATGTTAGGATTTTATATTTGCTATTCTTCCTCTTCTTGCGTTCACTTTATGATTTACACCAACAGACAAGCTCCTGTGATTAACTTGACTGTTTTTAGGTATTTCCTTCGAGTTCCATACAACTTTAAGTGCAATGTTGACTCACTGGGCCAGTATTTTCTTCTGAATGGGAATTACAAGGTACAATCTTGCAGGACATGTTCTGTAATCTGCATAAAGAGCCCACAATGGCACAATGGTAAACGACTTAGATGAAGCCTGTGCATATGCTTGTTATGTTTGCTATGTTATGTCCTGAGGCGTAGAATAATGACCTGCCCATGCCTGTCAAGTAAGTGGTGGTCATCTCTGGCCAGACTCTGCTTACGTTCCATGGTACGTCACAGTGAGATGGCACCTACTGAAGTACACTACACTTTTTGGGCAGCCACCTTGCCAAGTTCAGATCTTAGGTAAGGGAGTTTGCCACTCTTGAGAGCTAGAAGCACCGATAGCACATCTGTGAATATGACCACTTGGTGGCCGTCAGAACTGGTGTTGTGTAACATTTTAGCAGCATGCTCTAGTGCTACGATCTCTGATGTGTGGTTGGGACAGAATTTACCAGTAGGTGTATGTATATACTTTGCGTTTCGGTGGTTATCTGGGTATGTGATAAAGATGTCAGCACTCCCATTTTTAACCCCAATGGTTGCTGATCAGTCTGTGTAAGCATGTGTCCACAACTGTTCGGAATATTTCTTTAGGATCATGCTTTGAGCAGCTGTTTATTTTTGAAGGACACTGGACTCATCTCTAGCAGAGTCCACTGACTGGAAGTCATCTGTATTGCATTGCTGACTTGCTTTTCAAGGTAGCGTATAGGGTAGGTTTCAGCAGAGTTGTTCTCATGGGTAGATCTGCCTGATAATGTCTTTCAGGTCTTATCCCAAATGGACACAGCCGCTAAGCTTGAGACGTCCCAATGCCAGATCATCTAATATTGCATTTATTGGGTGTAACTGCACACTATTAAACTTTATATGGATCATAGTTTTAGTGTCTCTTCTATAGAACAATGTCCGCATTGCAGGAAATTTCTGTGACTATGATCCGTGCAGTTTTCATTGACCCTGTGATGATTGTTAGGTTTTTTGTTATGATTAATGAATATTTACGTCAATATGTGCGGTAATTAAAATTACCTAGCTTATGTATTACTTGTATAACTGTAGGAGTATAGATTGTCAAGTTAAATATATTTTAGTTTATTCTCAATCAATTATAGTAATTTTATTGTGTAGCCTGTCATTGCAGATATTTAAAGTGATTTGGGAAACCATTATTCTGTCTCGGTTTTATATTAACATCTCATTTGCTAATCCCTGTTCTTGTGATGTACTGTTTCATTCTTCCCTGTAGTTTTATAGAGCAATCTACTCCCACATTTACTAAGTGATTTCAATGACCTACACAAATAATCTTTAAGTATGACATAAGCTTAGACAAGTTTGAAGAAAAAAAACACAGTAATGACCTTTGACTCATAACTTGAGAATATCCTTAGTGGGCTATCCTCCGAATAACTGTCCCAAATTATCGAGGCCGAAAATATACCCTAATAGGGCCTCAGTCACATGTCAATTGTGGACTTCCAGCGACCTAAATTGTGCACTTCGGGCGACTTCCGCCACCACCGAGTTTCTCCAACACCCTTACGCGCCGCGTGGATTGGGGCTAAACTAGATGGCTGGGACTCATAAGCAGCAGCTACCACATCTTCTGAAGCTTCTTTCATTTTATTTGCTCGTGAGTCCTAGCCATCTAGTTTAACCCCAATCCACGCTGCGCATAGCGGCATGGGAGATACTCTCAGCGGTGGTGGTATAGTCGTCCCCAGATGTCCACAATTCGGCGGTGGCGACAAGCCAAAAAATTTTGCAACATTTAAAGGCTTTACTCTAAAAACATAAGGAGTGGAAAAGTTTAGACAATCATTAATGGAAGCCATTTTGCAAATGACCACAACATATTTATATTTTGTCTTCTTCGCCTTCACTGGCTGTAAAGTCTGGCAGAGAGCTCTGGTTTTGCATTCACTTTTTGACTTATTCTAGAACCTGAGTTTTGCATGCACATCCATTTCTACAGATCTGGACCCATGTATAAGCAGAGGCTTGGTTGATCACCTATCAAGCATGATGCACTCTTATGGGCCCGTAATTAGTCTTACTTTGACCAGATGCTGCCCCCCATCCCCAGAGTCACAGAACCCACACAAAGAATGATATATTCCAATGTATATATTAAAATTTAGCTAACAAGCCTTACAATTTATTATGGAGGAAGCTGTACAAAACTGTAAAGCGCCATCTATGTCACAAATATAAAACAATATGGCTATCCTTTGAAAAACGGGCACTAAAGATGGCGGCCGCAAAATATCCGTTCGAGCCGCAGTCACGTGTCAATTGCGCACTTCAGGCTACTTAATTTTCGGTTTTCCGCCAACAACCGCTGCGGCCACCACGCCGCTAATGCAGCATGGATTGGGACTAAACTAGATGGCTAGGACTCACGAGCAGCAGCTTCCGCATCTCCTGCAGCTTTGCTCGTGAGTCCTAGACATCTAGTTTAGCCCCAATCCACGCCGCATGAGCGGCGTGAGGGCCATGTGGCGGTGGCGATAGTCGCCTGAAAACCGCAACTTAAATAGCCGGAAGTGCGCAAATGACACGTGACTGCGGCTCAAACGGATATTTTGCTGCCGCCATCTTCAGTGCCCGTTATTCGAAGGATAGCCAACAATGTTCACATGAAATGGCACAAAATGTAAATGTACCCCTAAAGTTTTCCCAGATCCAGTCTGTGCAATTCCAACCAAGTTCCTCCCAGACAGTGCAATCGGCCAGGCCTGACACTGTATGGCTGTGGGGGTCAGCCAGCTGGTCTTCTTGATGTGGTCCATGATGTAGTCTGTGAAACCAGAAAAACAAACATCTAGCCCCTGCTCATAAATACAGGCAGCAATCTTAGTAATCAGAGAAAGGTAAGCACTGCTCCTAAACAGATACAAAAGTCTTAGTGGAGGTTTCAGCTTCACTGCAATCAGGTTTCCCCAAACTTTGCTGTTCCTGTGAAAAATCAAATGAAATGTCCCTAACTGTCACATAAAAAAAAAAAAAAAACTGGTCAACAAACAGTCCCGGCACAATCCAGAAACATGTGCTTGCAGCAAATGCATATGGCAGATGATAGAGATGCCAAAGCCAACAGTCACCACCAGAAATGCAGTTTATTGAAGTGATTAGTCAGACCCGATAAGCTGGCTATACACACGTAAATTTACTACATAAGGTATTTCACATACCACACTACTCTATACCATGACACAATGGCTGCACAATTGAAGGCATTTCAAATGAAAAATGAAGCTCACATGGCTGCACCAAGCACTAAACTGAGTAGCTCAGGCAGCGAAACCGTTCATACACACATGTGTATCAATGGAGAATTTGTTTAATTCTGGAGACAATAGAACCTTTTAATAATACGGATATAATACACCGTATAATTTACTTCCTGGCATATTATGCTGCAGCTTGTCAGGTGCATTACTGCAAAGTCAAATCAACGTATGAATTCTTCTCACTGAAATACAATCACCTTATCACTGACAAGTTAGGCTGTCCACAGGAAATGCAACATCCGATGAGTGGACAATCAGATAAGACAATCATTCAAAAACTAATCGGCAAACCTGTCCTTAAATTATCTCGTTTTTGTATTTCAGCAAAAAGGATTCATTATATGTTAATTTTTCTGCATTATTTAAATTTACAGTGGGAATACTTTTCAGTTTCTGAAATGTCACCTATCGCAACAATAGGGATTGTTTATAAGCTTGACAGATTTAGCCTTATTATAAATCAGAAATACAAGGAAGAAAGGTTAAAAAAAAAAGATTTACTTCTACTTCAAAAGACTAGAACAAGTTTAACATACATAATTTTAGACAAACTGGCATATGGTGTCATTATACCAGCTTTCTTCACTGCTTACATATATCACTGGCAATATGCCATAATTTCTTCTTTAGCATTCCAAGCCCTTGAGGTTCATTGCTGCATTACCTGCCTCCACTAATCTCTCTGCTTGGTGCTACCAAGTGTTTGTAGTCTGTCTAGATATTATATCTCCATTTTCTTGGTCTGTCTTGTGGTCTACGACCAATCACCTCCCTTAAGTATACAGTTTTTACCTCTGTTATCCGACATTCAATATGCTTCAGCCATTTAAATCTATTAGCCCTCATGATGCCAGTGATCAATGGTGGTATAAACAGATTATGAATTTTGTTGCTGCTTTTCCCTCTGCATTCAACACTGCTGGCATCCTTGTTGGGTCCGAAGATTCATCGTAAGACTGTTTAAACAAATTTCTAATAAGGCTTCATCTCTATTAGTTCATCTGAAACAGAGGCTTAGATGTTTCATAAAGAAATTAAGTTATTTTGAAATAAGTTTGAATGAGTTAAATCCTTGTTTTGAGAAAATCACATCTGAACATTGAGATCACATGAATGTAGTAGCATGAAAAGTAATACAGGATTATTCAAAATTAAGAATACACTTTCAGTCATGCATATTTCCTTGAATATAAATTGAATATGAATATACAAAAGAGTGCTAAAATGTTACATAGAACCTGTTCTGCTGTATGCCAGCGAATCTTGGAATGTCAGTGAACAAATAAGGAAGCAACAGATGTGGTTTCTGAAATGAATATTACAAATACCTTGGACAGTCGAGTAACTAACAATGATTGCTTGAAATAAGCTAATGAAAGTAGATCTCTAAATACAACATTAAGAAAGAGACACTGTTCTTTGGCCACATAATGAGAAGAGAGAGACTGGAAAAATCGTGACAACTAGAAAGATCAGTGGGAAAAGGGCTATAGGCAGACCCAGAGAGATCATGCTGGATGGGCTGAAACGATGGCATAGAGGGATATCATCAAGAGAGCTGTTCCAAGCAATCAGGAATTGTGAACTGTGGAGATGCATAAGTGCCTACGCCAGTTGGCAGGGCTCACGATGATGATGTATATACATACATACAGGACAGCAGGGAAAGATCTTAAGTTTTGTATACTATCACTAGAGCTCAGTTGCCAACCTGCAGAACCATATCACAGCTGCAGTAAACTCGGTTTTGCAAAAGATGCTGCTTTGTGTGTGAGATTAGTTGGGCTTCCGTTTAGATGTTTGCCGAGCAATAGACAGCGGTCACACTGAACATCTTCAACCTCTACTGTAAGTTCATAAACTTCAAACTGTCCTTTCTTGTATGTGCATTTTTAATTTGTAATGTATGCTTAAGGAAATATAAATAAATAAAGGTGTATCTATCGTTTTGAATAACCCTGTATATTTTGACCTATTTTCAGCGGGAATATGTGTGCCATCTGGCATTCTATAAAATGACAAATAACAGCCTTGAAAAAGCACTTGGGTGAAAAATTGCCAAAACAGTTCGGTAACACTTGTAGTGACAAGGATTCAATACTATGGGTGTGGAGCAGGGCGGTGGAGGGGGAATTCTCACAAAAAATAGATTCAGGAAGATGGAAAAACATGACCAGCCACTCTTATCTGCATGACAATAGTTAGCAATTACTGTGGTTACCTGGGAAATTGCCCTCTTCAAAAGTGAAGATTGGATTAGGAACATCAGTTCCACACACGGTGATCTGTTTGTCATCATGGAACATTTTTACTTCATCCTGTAAAGCCAAACAGCAAATAGATTTTAGTATGTACAAAATAAATCAACCTGGGAGTCAAGGTCATTTTTGGTATGCCTATTCCATGCTATAGTATAAAAAATATGGATTGGCACCATATACCTAATAAACCTCAAGGACTAAAAATGGTTCCTTTACAATTTAGAAACTTTTGCTTTTTGTCTACTTAGCGTTCACCAACTACTGACCCATTTGTCTTTTCCCAGAACTTGGAGTTTTGTACGTACATCTATTTTACGGACCTAGCTTATTTTTATGCAGGATGTTGGCTCTATGTTATCACAATCGTCGTCATTGCATATTGGGCATTCCTGCTCAGTCCTCCAATGCAGCAGCCACTCCAAGGTACTTCTACTAACTGTTCCCATGAGAGGTTGGTTAGAATGTCTCCTATCTCGGCCTCAAAGGCGGCAGAGATGTACTTCACGATGCTTTATTCCCATGTCATGCAATAGCATCAGAGACTGGTACAGTGATGATATCTGCGCTGTCTACGCTTCTTTCCAGCACGTACTGATTCTTCGCTTCTCAGACGAAGACTTTGAAGAAAAAACCCAAATCAACATTCACAACATGCTTGTTCAGAGAGAATTAATCAAGTAACAGAAAGTATTGTGAACGGCACTCATAGAAAGAAGTAGAAAGATAGAAGAACACACTAGACAACATAAAAATCGAAAGCTATAGTTACAGTGCCGGGAATTGAACCTGTCACCTCCAGACGGCGTCTGCGCCTCGCCATGAATACAAGTGCACTAAGATACATGGTCAACTAGGCACCCCCAAAAAAGGTGTCTTATTAGCCATGTCTATCGTACAGCTTGAAATCCACGACTATGGAATACGGACAGAATTCATTTCAACCCAGTGCCCCATGACCCCCCCCCCCCCTTCCCCCACAATAAGGCTCCAACCTGAAACCCATAAAGGGATGACTTGTCAATATCTGCTGTGTGTTGCTAGGAGTCGCAGTTTAACAGACAGACAGGGAGCCTCCTAGCTGCTTGGTATGATGTGACATCTTTGGCTGTCAGTGACTTCAATCCATCTTTCCCTAGACGTCCATCTGCATCCGAGTTTCAATTTTCATGCTTCTTTCTAGAAACCATGTCAGTAATAAAATGACAACATCACAGAGCCCCATTGTGGGGAAAACATGAACAGACCACTACCTACGCAAAGGTATGTTGTAAGAGTCAAGTAACTGGAACTTTTAAGTCGAAGTGTATCTGCCTCAACGGCAAGAAACAAGCAACTGAACAAAAATAAGCCAGTAAAACAGACATACACGCAAAACTCAGGCATAAAGCCTAAATGGATGAACAACCAGACTTTCCACCGGGGCTCACAGTCAATAAATAAACACAAAGAAAAGAAGAAATTACAATAGGTTCTTTTACCTGAGATCTGCTGGTTACTGCTGGATGCTCCACGTAGAAGTTCTTTTCAAACTTTGGCAGCGCCTCAAAGAAGTTTTTCTTTTCAAGGGCATGCATGGAAGACATTTCCCACTTGGGCTTCCCCATCCTTCCACCAGAATCTGATCTTTGGAAGTTGTTGCGGAAACCACTGCGGCCTCTGAATCCGCCCTGTGAGCCGCCATATCTAGAAACAGTAACGACAATATGATTAACTTGCAGAAACAAAAGATTTATGGTACAATTCTCCCGTCCAAATGTAGAACACAATTTGTCATTACTTAAAAGCCCCACCCCAATTGTAGTCAAGAGTCCTAACATAACCTAATGGTTGAGCGGGGTTTCTGCGACTTGTACCCAGGACATTATCATTTGAATAGTGGTACTATGTGTCACAGAGTGTTGGTTGCTCGTTCTAGGATCCTGGCAGGGTTACACGATTTCTGGTGTCATACATTAGAACATCACTTGAAAACAGATCCGCATATCATAGATCTTCTGCCTCAGACGTCTGGGTGTGCCAGGCTATTCCAGTGTATGCAGCAATAAGTGGGCTGATATATCTGCTGATGCACAGGGGGTAAAACTAGGAGACAAGTCGCAACTGGCACCATCAAGTATAGAAACTCTTACTAAGGAAGAGGATAGAGCACGTCCTGGGTGCAGTGATGTCTTCTCTTCACATTCACTGGCTGTAAACTCAGTGGAGAATTATGATTCATCAACTGCTGGACTTGTATTCTTGCTCCAAGGCAGTTTCGCTTGCACATCTGGGTTATTTGATTCCTTGCAGACGCAGATGCACTCTGATATTTGTAATTAGCTGACTTGCTAGGGGACAGCCAATTGTCCCCAAAATGTGGCCCGAGAACCCACACTGTTCGGTCTTTTTCTTTTCTCATGAGCAAATAAAATGAAGGAAGCTGCTGCTCTCGAGTCCCAGCCATGTAGTTTAGCCCTAATCCACGCCGCTCATGTGGTGGATACTCTCGACAATGGCGGAAGTGTGCAATTTAAGGTGACGGAAGTGGGCAATTGGCACGTGACCGAGGCCCTGTTAGGGTATATTTTCCGTCTTGATAATTCAGGACTGTTATTCGGAGGATAGCCACTAAAATTAATCTTCGTGACAGAAAGGATACAACAACAATTTGGAAACCAAAAAAAGGAAAAAAAAGTCTCATGGTAAACGGTTAAGCAGTTTTCAGAGTGCAAAACTAATCAATGCTAGCATGCTAAATCAAGCAAAAACGTTAATGCCAAACTGTCAGATATTTGTTATTTGTCCCGCTGCCTGCATCACAGAAGGAATGGCTAGGTAACAACAACAAAAACATAGCTATATAGAATTGGAAATTAAAAATCTTGATGGATCAATTTATCATCAAGAGACATGGATGAAAAAAGGGCTCTCCTTTCAATACCGGACGAGAGCTGGACGGCATTGAAAGGAGAGCCGAAAAAAGCAATACATTATTTATTATACTTTATTCTATACAAGTCACTGCTGTTATAAAAAGCTAATTCAAAACATTACATTACCACTCATTGGTCGAATAGCCACTTTAATTAAAATGTCTCTGTTTTAAACACACTAATATAGTGTATAATACTATATTACCCTTTGATGCAATATGATATGTTTAATAAAGGCTATGTACAAAAGCAGACGAGATTAATCAAATCTCTAATCATTAGAAGAACTATAAAAACAATATCTGTAGTAAATTCACTTAGAAACAAAGAAACGTGGCTCAGCCATCTAGTGACAATGAATGAGTTAAAGGTGTTGCAAGTGTGCACAATATGACAACAAAACACCAAGAGGCTAAAAGATTTTTTTTTAAATGTGGACTGATCATTAAAGACGCTGTTGTGACTGTTTAAACTTAACCCATCACATAACCAAGCATGCCCTCATTATCCGTTATCGTTAAACTGGCGGCTTAAACTAGATACTAACAAAAGACAGTGGCAAAAACTAAAGGATCATTTTCACAAATCTAATAACAAAAAGGACGAGAAAATTACTCTGTACGGAACAACATGGCTATCCAAATCCAACGGCAATGAAGATCCCAATTTATTACACAACATTAAAAAACGCTAAAAAGATAATCGTAATCTTTACTTTACATAAAAAGTTTCAGTTGTAGAATATATCATGTATATGCTTACCCGCCACCATGCCTGTTTCTTGGAGCAAAGTCTTTTCGCTGCGACATTTCGTGATGCAACTTGGACAACGACTGAGGACAGACTAGAAACCTTTCAGGTCCCCGGTGAGTTCAGGTACAGCCAGACACGTGGAGAGCGTGGGTGCACGAGCAGGGCTGCCCAAGTTGGTACTTTCGTACAAATTTGATAAAATTTGACGAGCAAAACTGTAATTTTGATACCATGTTTTGCTACTTTAAGAAATTTTACATCACAGCAATTTAAATGTTTGCGTTGTATACTGGATCCAAAGTGTTACTGAAGGGAGACCAAAGGCAGTCATTGGTCATTACATTTCCCAGCCTTGTCAAAGAAGAACATTAGAAATAGATAAATCAAGAATGGAGGGGCCTGATAGTGCAAAGTAAAGGACCCTTTTCCATGCCTTTAGGCGTATAGGGCTAGACCTATATTTGTATAGACCAATGAGCACAAGATGGGTGACGTGGTCAACATCACGCCGCCCGCCTTTACTTCCAGGGACTGCACCTGGTACCCACTCAAGGCTGGGGCGACCTGGAAGTCAAGGTAATTTCTGAAGAAAGTTTGGCTCCTCCAGGGAGCGAATCCGCGACCTTCCGATCCGCACGCGAGCGTCTAGCCGCTACGCCACGGCGACTCCACCTGATTGTGCAAGATCAACTAAATTCACTGGAGAGGTGGAAAAAATAAGAAACTTTCGTCTGCATTACCTCATTCCTCTGCAGCTGCAGAAAGAATGTTGTCTCTGTTTGACAATATTGGGGTCTTTTTTTTTAAATCACTGTCTTTGAAGACCTCAACGATAAATGAATTGATGAGACTAAATTTATTGCTCCATGTCATTATTTGCACGAACTGATAGCCGCCACAGATTTTAAAAAAAATTGTAATACATCAATGATGTAACTGACACAGAGTTTTATTCTTATCAAATATGCATGTGTGTGTGTTCACCGACGCTTTGACATTTTTTTTTTTTTTTAAATTAGCATTTTTGTACCTTTTGACGTGTTCACTCACAAAAATGTTCTATTTCCCGAAAAAATTCGGCAGCACTGCGCACGAGGTGTTGCATGTCGCGGAGTGATTCCACTGCTCGTTGCCTTCAGACTAGGCCAACATTACATAATTAAATAATGATACTATGTATAACAAATTTATCAAACAGCGGGGAATGGTGAATGAGAAGCAACAACTACATTCATAATCTGTTTAAATCACCACTGATCACTGGCATCACGAGAGCTAATCGACTGAAATGGGTTGGGCATGTTGTAAGAACGTCAGATGACAGAGAAGTAAAAACTGTATACAACAGGGAGACGAATGGTTGTAGACCACGAGGCAGACCAAGAAGACGATGGGGAGATAATGTCCAGGCAGACCGGCAAACACTTAGTGTCACCAACTGGAAAGAGAAGGCCAACCAGGGAGATGAATTGGAGGCGGGTGATATCTGCAGCAATGAACCCCAAAGACTCGGAATGCTGAAGAAAAAGCAGAAGATACAAAATATATCATCATCATCAGGTGCCTTGCCGACTGGCGTGGGCGATCATGCCTCTCCATAATCTACGATCTCCTGCAGCATGTATCAGTTTGTGTGCCGACACACCTCCATGCCATGCAACAAGACTGTCAAGCATCTTCTCTCGCTGTCTTCCTCTATCTCTCCTTCCACATATCTTTCCAGTGGTCACAACATGTTCTATTTTCCCTCTTCTCATAACATGGCCGAAAAATGATGACTGTCTCCTTCTGATGTCTGTGATAAGTTGTCTTCGGGCTCCCGCCTCTTTCAAAACCTCTTGGTTGCTCTTTTTGGCTGTACAAGGTATTCTAAGCATTCTTCTGTAAAACCACATCTCCGAAGCATCCAGAAATTGTTTGGCCTGCCTACCGATTGTCCAGGATTCACAGCCATATGTTAAAACTGGATGTATGTAGCAGGCACGAATTCTTTTTCTAGCTCTCAATGACAAGGATATATTGCACAAGATGTTTTTCATTTTATAAAATGCAGTTTTTGCCTGTCCTGTTCTAACAAATATATACATATTTATAAACACACACTGACAATTCGATTAACACTTGATATTCCAATTACAATCCAGATGAACAGGATAGTGTTGTGCAAACTATTACTACATAATTACATAAAACCACCTAGGCGTACATGAAATTATTTAAATTTAAAACAAATGTTCTCTGTTAAATCTTTATATTATGACAGTCGACACTACTGCACATTGGGCATCCCCGGGGGTGCTCAGTCCTCAGATAAAGAAGCCACCCCAGTGTACCTCGACTTACTGTTCCCATGAGGAGTTGGTTAAAATGTCTCCTATCTCGGATTCAAAGGCGGCATAGTCGTGCTTGACCATACTTAACTCATAAGTCACGCAATCGTGTGAGCATCATAAATTATCTACTATCCCAGTCTGCAGTTATGATGACACCTGTTATCTTATATTTGTGAATATTATGCGGTACGGCGCTCATACTATAAGCTGAGAATCACGACAACGGTCTGATTCCAAACCGTCCACCGCGGGAATCGAACCCTGACACATCGAGGATTCGGCTGTGAAACGATTTCATTAACATCTGAGTCACAGATCCACTGATTCTTCTTCTTCTTCGCGCTCACTGGCTGTAAACTTAATGGAAAGTTCTGGCTGTTTGTCCACTTCTGAACTTTGGTATTGCTCCAAAACTTGATTTTTATTGTGTACACCCGTTTTACAGATCTGGCTTATTTTGTATGCAGACTGTTGGTCTCTCGCATATTTGGCAGATACGCTTACTACTTTGCAGAGAACACACATCTGATTAGTCGCCTCCTACGACATGCTCTTTAGGAGCAGTAGGTCTATTCTCCCACAACGGAGCCCGTTAACTCAAGTGTTCCACCCATGAAAGCACATAGAGCTGGAGAAGTGGCTAGAGAAAGAGAGGCTGTCATGCTTTCCGTGATCACAGCCGCATTCTGTTAAGGACCTGCTGATTGATTAACCGATTCTCCATGATTCACTTCCCTATATCAGGACATGATTTATTTAGCTCTCGAGAATTCTCTTTCTCGCTACCAGGAACTATAAGTAAAGTAAAGGTTTCTTTTCCCCGCCTTTAGGCGTATGGGGCAGATAGGGCTGGACCTATACTTTGTATAGACCAATCAACTCAAGGTAGGGGCTGGACCTAAACTTTGTATAGACCAATCGGCTCAAGGTAGGGGCTGGACCTATACTTTGTATAGACCAATCGGCTCAAGGTAGGGGCTGGACCTATACTTTGTATAGACCAATCGGCTCAAGGTAGGGGCTGGACCTATACTTTGTATAGACCAATCGGCTCAAGATAGGGGCTGGACCTATACTTTTTATAGACCAATCGGCTCAAGGTAGGTGATGTGATCGGCATCACGCCGACCGCCTTTACTTCAGGGACTGCACCCGGTACCCACTCAAGGCTGGGTCGACCTGGGAGTCAAGGTAATTTTGTTTGTAAGTCCGGCTCCATCTGGGAGCGAACCCATGACTTTCCGATCCGCTCGCGAGCGTCTAGCCGCTTCGCATGGCGACTCCCACCATGAACTATACTAGGAAATAGAAGCACCACTTACCGAATGTAGACTTTCTCACGTTCTGTAGGTCGTGTCTAAGTTTCACAATGCTTCACATAAATAGACAGAGGGGGGACACTTGAGGCCGTAGACATATTATATATGCAATAAATAGTCAGACAATGAATTTGTTGGTAATCATAAAAAGAAGTATACAGGTAGAAGGTCACAATAGACAACATACAAATCGAAGGCTATAGTTACCGTGCCGGGAATCGAACCTGTCACCTCCAAATGTCGTGTGCGCATCGCATTGGTAACAAGTGTAATTAGGACAGGACCAACTAGGCACCCCTTAAGAAAGATGTCGCCATTAGTCTTACGGGCGTGTCGTTCAGTCCACGAATACAGTTTTTTTTTTTTTTTAACAGAGAAAGTTGACGATCGTCGATGTAGCTACAGAGTTCGTAGCATCATATGGCATAAGCGACAATGGCGTGAAAAAGGTCCTGGACTTTTACTTTCTGTACGAGTTTCGGCTAGACGCTTGCCTGCAGATCCGGAGCTACTGGCTTCTGATTGAACGGAGCAGAACTTTTTTTTTGTATCTCCAAAAATAACCTTGACTTCCCGGTCGACCCAGTGTTAAATTGGTACCAGGCAAGTCCCGGGGTGACCAGTTCACCCACCGAGTGTTGATTGGTAAAAAAAAAAAAAAAATAGGTCTATTACTAAATTGTAGTTCGGCGTCTATGGATTAAGCGTTGCGAACGCGCTCTGTAATGCCGGGGTCGATCCCGACTGCCGGTCTTGTGTTGGTTTCGACAGTGGTATCTAGAAGCCGACCATCCAGAAAAATGGCAAACTACTGGACGTAAGTTTACCTAGAAAAACCACAACAGTCAAACAAGTGCTGGGTTTGTTCTGCAGTTACAAAAGAATTATAAAAGACAGCGAAGTTCATACTAGTGACAACATTGCAGATATAATCTATTCCAAGCGAACGAAATAAGATGAAGAAGGTTCTGCAATGGTCCTGTAAAGGATACACAACTAGCTGTAACTATATAACAAATACACACCAAGGTGTGAAAAGGGATCTTTTTACTTTCTGACCAAAACGTAACGGAGACAATGACTCGGTGACAAGTGAGACAACAAGAACTACTTGTTGCGAACTGCTGAAAATGACAAAATATAATCCGGCGCGTAGGTATTAGTCCTTGTAAGAGGTGAGCTGGCAAAGGGACTATTTCCTTTTTTAGGATTTAAAAAAAAAACGGTGGGAAAAATCAGTAAACGTCAGGCCTTGTTTCCTTTCACAGGTAAATACTTTAAAATGGGAGAGATTGAGCAGTGCCGAGCCACAAAAAGATTACTTTGATATGAGGGGAATGACTCGGCGACAGTATTGCCACTTTTCTTTGACAAAAAATATCCAAAACGGTGTCCAAAAATATC